GGTTGGGTTTCTCGGTTTGGTGCTCCTGACCGGATTCATTCCGATCAGGGCGCTCAGTTTGAGTCTGCTTTATTTGCTCAGCTTTGCTCCCTGTTGCAGGTTCGGAAGTCACGGACAACACCATACCACCCTGCTGGTGATGGTTTAGTCGAGCGCATGAACCGCACACTGATCACCACGCTCCGACTGTATGCCCGTGGCCACCCTGAATCCTGGGACCTGCATGTGCCTCTATGTTTACTGGCGTACAGGACGGCGGTCCAGAAGTCAACCGGTGAAACACCTGCACGCCTAATGTTTGGGCGTGAGCTCCGTTTGCCGGCGGATATTATTTATGGGTTGCCACCGGAGTACCAGGATGTCTCGACACATGAGTATGTGCAGCGTGTTCAGTCAGTCCTCCAGAGTACTTATGCCCGTGCCCGTGCGACCGACGCCGTGGCCCATAGACGGATGAAAGACTACTATGACCGACGTGTCCATGGTTCGTCTCTACAACCTGGACAGTATCATACTGACCAACCACCACAATCTCAATCCCTTGACAAGACATGCAGAATCCCTGGATTTCTCTCAAAATCCCTGGATGGCACAAAAACAAGTGAAAAAGAGCTTTTCCCGCCAAAAAAACGTTCGACTCTGCAGCTGTGCGTACAGCACAGATCGACCCTGTTGCGCCTGTATTAGTGCAGTTTGATCAGTCGGCGCCCGCCTGTCACTTTGTCAGTGCAGATCTTGCACGGTCAGGTCTTCAAAGTGCTGTGCACAGTTCGAAGTGCGAATGAGCACCGTACATACCTTTGAAAAAAGTTCAAAAAACCGGGACATTCGGGGAGAAACCATGGAGTTTTCAGGAAAATCCTGTATCAGACAAAACTTTGGTTTTCCGGGAGTTTGCTTGAAATCCCCGGGACCCCGGGAGGAGTGTTGATTTTCCGGGATTTTCCCGGGAAAAACGGGAGGGTTGGCCAGTATGCAGTATGTGTGGCTGTTGGATACCGCTGTGAAGCCGGGCGAAAGCCGAAAATTACACAACCCGTGGACTGGCCCATACGTTGTCCGATCGCTGGCTGGTCCAGTCGTCGAGATCGTGTTGGCCGCCGACCTACGCAAACACAAGCGGGTGCATTACAATCGCCTGAAGCCCTGTCAGCGTGCTCCCAGTATGTTGCCGCCTCCACCTCAATCCATGAGCGCACCATCGCCCGCTGCTTTGCCGCCGCTAAGTACCGAGTTTATTTGGCCAGACTGTGATGACGCTGAGTTTGCTCAGGCTGCTCCTGCGCCTATTGTGCCACCAGTACAGCCTCAGCCCGTTAATGTACCAGGCCCACGTGACCATTTGCGCAGAACTGCTGGTCCGCCTGCCTGGCACCGTGACTACAATATGTAACTGGTTCACTGACTGTCCGTTCTGGGTGACTCCAGTTTAATTTAGGATGCTATGGACTTGGATTGCGATAATACATTAGGCAGTTCATTTTGTACAGATTTCTAAGTGAGTGTGTGTGTGTGAGTGTGTGTGTGTGTGTGTGTGTGTGTGAGTGTGTGTGTGTGTGTGTGTGTGTGTGTGTGTGTGTGTGTGTGTGTGTGTGTGTGTGTGTGTGTGTGTGTGTGTGTGTGTGTGTTCCACTTTTCTTTTCATATTAAAATGCAATCTGCACAGCAAAGTATTATTGTTGCCAAACACATGTACAAACACACACACACACACACACACACACACACACACACACACACACACACACACACACAGGTACAGACACAGGTACAGACACACATACACATAGACACACGCGCACGCACACACACATGCACAGACACACACACACACACACACAGTGTTTATCTGTCTACCCTTCCTTATGAGCCTACTATGAAGCATGAAGTATCCAATATAGAAGGCAATGGTCATGTGATGTTGACCACTCCTGTTCGTTTGATTTTCTGTCATGCCTCAGGAATACCGCTCTTCGGTGCTGCCCGTGATACAGCAGGATTGGGACACCCTCACCGAAACCCAGAAGAAAGAAACGTGTAAACTCAATAACTTCTTCTGCGGCCTACATCTACTGGTCAACCTGGCAGATCACTCTGGTGCCGTGATTAAGGAGTGGGAGGCAACACAGAGTGGGAGTTCGGCAAGTTGCCCAGGCGCAAACCAGCCAAACGAATGTGGCACGTACCGCCTGATCAGAACTGCGTGTAAGGCATTCGAGCGCCATGGGAGTGAGCAAGTTGGAGAAGCTGCTGGCTTCCAAGCCTTTGCCACTACCAACGGGCTCACTCACATCCCGCTTGTCAAGTTCAGGGGCAACAGGTTTAACATCATTTTCCACAACGCTGCTGGAATCTACTTCCTTGCTGAGACAATGACTGCTTACCTGGCATTTAGTTGTGGCAACCGGTTGCTTGCTGCTGTCAAAGAGGACCTCCTCGACCCACGATTTGTCACTGGCTGCCGGGCTGTAGGGCTTTTCGGCAAATTTGTCACTGCTCCGATGTGGCGATTCCTGGAATCAGACGCACCGTTCACCTCTGTCCAGAGTGTGTACCAGGAAGTCGAGACGCAACTGGCAAGATGGTCGGAGGATGCAAGCGAGCTCGTTGACGGCACTGCGAAGCCATTTGCAGCAGCCACTATAACACAGCCGGACGTTGTTCTCGACAAGCTGCTAGAGCCAACGCAAGACGACGCTTTGGTCAAGGGACTGTTGCAGCTGCTCGCCGTAGCATGGCACACGTATCTCCACAGAGTATGGGAAGTGCAGTATGAGCAGGGTGCACCGGATCCAGAGCAGACTGCAACAGTCCCGAAAACCAACGTCGTGTCCGAGCGGGACTTCGGCCAGCTAGACCGTCTGCTGAGGAGCAAGCCGAATGCTTCCATGCTGGCTATCGAGGCACAGATTATGCTCGCGAACAATCGCCCCCTCGATTGGTTGAGCTTCCGCACACCAGAGGAGCAATCAGCGATACTCGAAGTTGCCAGGCAGCTGGTTCCAGAACACAAGAGGCTCCAGAAAGCCAGGCTGTCTGCCATCAACGAGTATCGACTGAAAACTGTGCAAGCCAAGCAGCAGGCCCACCAGCAGAGAGAGCAACGGCGAGTGGCGGAGGCGGAGACCATCACACAGCAGCTTGCCAGGATTCCTGGTGGGCTCTGGACGACCGGAGATGGAATAGCTGAGGGACTGGCTGAGCTTCCTACAAACAAGGCGAAGGTAGACGCTCTGAAGTGTCAGCTGAAGTTCAGGAAGAAAATCCTCGTCCAGCAAGCGCCGCACACACTGTTTGCCTTCTCGAAAGCCGGCAAGCCATTCTCCATCGCCGAGCTGAAAGCGAATCTGCTGCGTCTCCTTGAGCTCTCACCAGCCTCAGCACACCATGTAGCGCTGTCGGATTCGGACGACATGCTGAATGACGATGATGGTGGCATGGTTCCGCAGTGACCAGGAACATCAAACATGGCACCTAGTCGATGCATGGCTGGTGACATCAACATAGCTGGCTGTTACATCAGTTAGTGCATAAGCGATGACACAGCGACGATTTGGCTCGGATTGCGATGTATGTTTCGCCCCTCCCAGACTCCTCAGTCATTCATGAACGTCTTCAGGTGAAGCTTGATGTAGTAGGATTAAGACTCCTACGCAGCATCATTATGGAAGAGAAATTACCTGGCGAAATGGTGGTAAATACACGCATACCCACTCAAAGCTCTCTAAGCTACAATGGTTGCCAGACCGTTGTAGCTTAGAGAGTGCTGCAGGGGCAGGCGTGTACTCACCACCATTTCGCCAGGTAATTTCTCTTCCATAATGATGCTGCGTAGGAGTCTTAATCCTACTACATCAAGCTTCACCTGAAGACGTTCATGAATGACTGAGGAGTCTGGGAGGGGCGAAACATACATCGCAATCCGAGCCAAATCGTCGCTGTGTCATCGCTTATGCACTAACTGATGTAACAGCCAGCTATGTTGATGTCACCAGCCATGCATCGACTAGGCGCCATGCATGAACAGATGATGGTGGTGAGAGAACTTGGAGAAGCACTCTCTGCCAGGAATTGCAGCTTAGAGAGCGTTGTGTGACAGCTACACCATAGCTCAGTGGTTAGAGCATCACTGGTCTCAAGCAAAGGTCCATGGTTCGAGTCCTGTTGGTGACAGTCAATTTTCTCTTCAGACTTTTCTCGTTCGAGTCCTGGTGGTGACAGTCAAATTTTATTCAGACTTTCCATTTCCATTCCCTCAACGAGTGAATAATATTGAGAAGCTGATCGCTGCTTGCATGACGACTACACCATAGATCAGTGGCTAGAGCATTGCTGACCATAAGCGAGGGTCCCTGGTTCGAGTTCTGGTGGTGATAGTCAATTGTTTCTTCAAACTTTTCCCGTTTGCATCATTCCCTCTAACCAATGAATGTTGAGAAGATAATATTCTCCAATCTCGGCTCTCTTTCCATCTCGCATTGTTTCACGCCTTGTACTGCATTAACTTGATTAGTATTCACACAGGAAGTATCTTCCTAAGTTTATTATCTGTCCAAGGCCCAGAGTAAGGGCTAAGGGAAGAACAGGTAGTGCTACAAAGTATTATTTTGCCTTGACGATCTCGGAAATCATGCATGGCTCATACTATCGAAAAATGTACGAAAAGTGAAAAAATCAAAAAAAAACTTATCTGCGTTCAAAAAGACCCCTTTGCAGCACTTGTGTGCATGCGTGCGTGCGCAGAGCAAGGGGTCCGCGGAGGACTTCATTGTGCCACACCGGCTGTACCGTTTGTGTGCAATCATGGCCTTTCTTCGTGACAAACACAACTGAGGTTTTTCGATCTTCAAATCGCCATAGCGTCCTTGTCATGACTCCAAATCAGCTGAAGCTTGGCAGGACGAATGAAAATGGCATACTGAATCGATTGATACCTTTCCGGAAGGGTTTCCTTGAAAAATAGAATTTAGCCTGCACTGGCTAGCAATATCAGTACTGAATTTTAAGTGGAATGCTACATCACCATTACAAACTCGTTTTCAATGCACTATAACAGGTAGCAACATTCTTGCTATTCAGTACAGCAGTAGTGATCTCAAGTAGCCATTGACAATGAAACACAAGTACATGCATGCATGCATGTACTTGTATTTACTTTAGCAGAGATAACGTCAGAGAGATGATATGCAGGGGACTAGCATATATGTTTTCTGGGACAGATTACAGGGCATCATCAATCTTCTACAAATCGAGCGGACAAGGACGACTAATTGCACTGTAAGCATTTCCTAAATGTCAACATGTAGGAGTAAAATGTGAAATGTTACATTCATCAGTGACATCAATGACATCAGTGACATCAGTCGTCAATGACATCAGTGACATCAGTCATCAATGACATCAGTGACATCAGTCATCAATGACATTTAAAACTGCTGTCTCCGAAACGCTTGTTTTAATTGATAAAGAAGTGAAAACTAATACTGCCATTTACATCAAGTAGTAACATTAGTGTCCCATTGTGTTTGTGCCAGCACGTTGCCTGCATTAGGTCAGTGCTCTTCAGTCTGAGACCAGATGTTAATGAGTCCATCTCCTCCCGCAGTGCACAGCCAGTTTCCAGAGACATCGAACGAGCAGCTTCTACACGATGATAGGTGACCTTTGAAGCTACCAGCCTGTGCAGCACACGCACACATGCAGTGCGCGCACACACACACACATACACGCACACACACGGTCTGTTATCACTGCTCTGTTTTACAAGTTGCAGTTCAGCTTCCCGGCATGTGCCCACACACCAATATCCCAGCCCTGCCGACCCCACGGTAGAAGCTACCCCACGTATTCTCCATACCAGCGGTGTAAAGTTATATACTTGTATGGCAACCCCTCACTTTTGACTGTATACTGAAAAGCATTGGGTCAACCTGAGTTCGCATCCGACTCTTGAACAAAATTCAAGTGTTGGGGCGCAGATGGGCGTCCTGAAAGTGGGACATTTGCAGAATGAAAATTTCACCCACAGGCTTTGCTTCCGTAGTCCAATGCTCTAACAATTCTGACCTCCTGTGATGGGGCCACACCTCTCAGCATTCTGAGAAAACACAACCCCAGTGGTGCAGTGAATTGAAACCGGCTGTCTCTTAGAATGTGTTTGTGATAAGTATAGGGATTTTCGGATACAGTTCCCTTGTGGAGAGAACTGGAGAAGCAACAACGTACCACTTCGGAATGGCTGTTTATCACACAGACTGAACCGTCGTCCAATGCTGACGCAATCACATCACCTGCATATAGGATGCACAAGAACAAAAGAAGTAGTTAGTTCCACGCTATTTCACGCTGTTGTTGTGATTGTGATCAATGTGTATGGGAAATTACAAGATCAGGAGCACTGGGAAACAAAGCTTTAAAGGAGTGTGGGAGGAAGTGGCAGGGGCAAAGAGGTGACAGTATGAGAGATCAGGGTGACCAATGCGATAGGTGGAAACCCTATTGCTATTTGATAAACTGAGCCCCATTCCAGTTTCTGTGTGACGTTCCACTTGATCCTACAGACTAAATGCAGCAGGCTGTAGATGTCACTTGATCCTACAGACTAAATGCAGCAGGCTGTAGATGTCACTACATTCACATACAGTCAACCCTGCGAATAACCACCCTCCATCCGTGCGTGAGAAAAGTGTCGTAATTTGCGAGTTGTCGTTATTCAGACTTATTGGTGAGGTTGGAAGTATGAAGTCAAACGGTCTGGAGATTGTGTCCTCGTTCGCGAGTTGTCGTTATCAGGCGTGTGCCCCGTATGGGTTCCTGGGTGCCCGGAACCCCCCCTTTTTTCGCTCAAAATGCAGGATTTTACTTCATTTTTTGAAAATTTTCCCGGGGAGGCTCCCCGGACCCCCCCCCCTTGAAGGGCACCGGCGCACGCGCCTGGTCATGCCTGAGGTCGTTATTTATGAGGTTTGTGAGGTTTCTATCACCTCAGGTTCATGAGAGACTACACGATTGGAGCAACGAAAGGCTAATCTTACTGGAGAACATCAGGCAAGAGAGAACCGCGAATAACACAGAATGCATCTACAAGAAGGAAAATGCAGACACGGAAGAATCTCACATCAAGTTCCGAAAGTGGACTTGGAGTGACCGAAAAGGCAACAGTCTCACAAAGTGCATAGTATAGTGATCAGTGCAAAGCTACACTACACTACACATGTACAAAGGGTGTCACAAAAGCTAAACATCACACTTACCATTTGGGTCGAAGGCCAGGTCATTGATGCCGCTTGTTGTCACGTTGGCTTCGTAGACTTCCGATGCGGAGCGCACATCCCACATGTGTATATCACCGGCTGCATCACCTGATGCAATGACATCACCCTGTGCACAGTAGCAATGTACACCATCATGTTTACTAGGAGTGCAGTCGATATTCAGGGAGTCAACCAGGTACAGTGCGAGTATGTATATCTTGCTATCCAGTGCACTTCAAGCTTTGATGATCCGGTGCACATACATCCTCTAACTGACATGGACACGAGTTTGCTCCCATCCTGGAGCTCGCGCTTTTCCCGCCGACCTGACTTGACACCAATCAGGGAGTGCTGCTTTCTTGCAGGCTTGCCGAGTGGAAGGTTTGAAGGACTTTTCGTGTATTCTGGATGGTAGCCGACTAGTCGTGAGTCAGTCAAGTCAGGTCGGTGGGACAGCGCGTGTTCCAGGGTGTGAGCAAACAACTTCCTTATACAATTATCGCCGAGATCGCTACCACCATTTCATATTGACATAGACACCTAAGCCATAATAACGATAGCATTGTTTCCAAAAAAGTAGCAGGCACTTTTCATAACTGGGCCAACATTTGAAGAATTTTGCAAGCCTTCTAAAAATTCGGACAAAAACCATAATTTGTAGTGTGTATCCTTTTAGTGTACCGACCAGCAGGATAAGTACTTGGCTATCCGTGCATGCACGCATTTGTGCGTGTCTGTCTGTCTGTCTGTCCATAACCCAGGAGCTGAGATGAAACTGGTTGGCTGTACCAACTTGTTCTCGCAACGAAGACAAGAGCAAGTGGAGGCTTGGGCAAATGCTGACTTGACAGTCGCAAATGATTACAAAATGGCTTACTTGCTGTGTAGTGGTTAGAGAGTTGACAGCATTCCTGTGTCCTATGAACGTCTCCACGCTTTTATTCTATAGGAAACAGATTCGCAAAGAGTAAAACAGAACAACAATCACTGCACCACAGCAACAATGATCATGAAGACGGCGACAACAACAACTTTCTCTTATTGGCCACAGGCCATCGTGAGAATATATATTTGAAACAACAACTTTCTCTTATTGGCCACAGGCCATCGTGTGAGAGTATATTTATTTGAAACAACAACAACGATAACAACAGGGTGTGCTGTGCTTACGGTGTCCCTTTATAAAAGCTATATACAGAGGGTGTGCGCCTTAACCTGCAATAGTGCTCAAATGCCCGGAATGGGCAGAGCGTAGTACGCAAGAGGTACACAAAAGGAAGTATATAGGGCTGTTTTTTGTTGTAACTCAGAGTTTCATAGCAAAAACCAATCATCAGAATTGTCTGATGATTGGTTTTTGCCATGAAACTCTGAGTTACAACAAAAAACAGCCCTATATACTTCCTTTTGTGTACCTCTTGCGTAAAAGCTATATATGTACTAAGAAGTGCGGGCGTGCTGACAATACAATCAAGCACAGGGTGATGAGTGTTATGAGAGTAACCACATTCCCAACTTGAAAGAGGAGTATTACTTCCTAATATGATCATAAATCCCGTTACAATCTGTGACTTGTATTCGGAGCAGGGGACTTGGTAATTTTTAGTAGCACTTACTGTCCGAATGTCCCAAAGCTGAACGGTTGCGTCAGAACCCGCTGTGCAGAACAGGTACGAGTATGGAAGGAAGACGCAGGCGTTTGCAGACCCGGTGTGTCCTAGTAGCTGACGACACATGCGTGATCTGAAGCAACAATATAATATGAAAAAGGCAGTTGGAGACTAAAGATGCGCTATGACAAAACACGTGGTTGTAGACTCACAGCAGGAGCTTGAGCAAGTCGTGGGTTGTTGCTTCGTATAAGAATTTGTCCGGAATGCTACCACTGTTGTTTTCAAGAATGTCTAAATTTATATTACCAACAACAGGGACTCCCATGATACATGTTATGCTTTAGTCGCATGCTGCATCGACATTCATAGCAAGTTCTTATTTATCCGTTCCAAGTCTGAGAACAGCACAGTGTAACAGTTCACCCAGAACAATCCGCAGATCTAACGTCACGTCCATGTACGTACGTTTCAGTGTCGAATAGCGCTACTTTGCCAGAGGAGGAGGTCACCACCAGACACTGCCCATTCCAGTTCCATGCACAGTCCCACAGACATGGTTCTGCGAAAGCTGCATGGGAATGGTAACCAGGGGCACAGGGGACACACACACACACATCAACTGGGTCGCTAGTCAACACCGCAAAAGTGCTATCGTCACAGAACATACATACGCAGCCTGAATATTTTCGCGCGGCGTGCATAAGAGAGAGAGAGACAGACAGACAGATACACAAGCACACACACACACACAGTATAGTGCACATTGCCAAGGACTGTTTTAAAAGAGGATCGGCTTTGCTCAAATTCATGCACCAGTAATTACTCGCTTGTCACTGATAGATTCCTGATGCTAGTTGAGCGTATGCAGAACATGCAGAGTAGTGTGCAGAGTAGTGAGTTCACTAGGGTAGTAGGAACCCCCCAAGAGTGTGCAACGCCGATCCAGCTCTGATCCAGCTCTGTGTAGGGTCTTGGTCGAGCGGAATCGAATCTTCTGATGTCATGCGTACACTCCACACCAGCGCAAGGCCGGTTTCGAGGCAGGGCACCATTGTTTTTGATCCGAGAGTACCTGCGACTCCCCGGGTTCCCCTCAGATGCGTACGGAATTATGACGCAAAGATCCGATTCCGCTCGACCAAGACCCTATGCAGAGCTGGATCAGGCGTTGCACACTCTGGGGGGTTATGTACTCTTGGTAGTACTATCTACGCTCACCATGGCTCACTCCACCCATGTCCAGAATGGACTTGCACTCTCCGCTACAGAAATCCCAGATACGAGCTGTCGAGTCGGCAGAGGTCGTGGCCAGCATCGTCGAGCTGCACCGGGGATACGAGAGATAATCGGCGTCATACGTGCTAGCTGTGAAATCAGACACTCAAATTAGGGTGGCGGGGTGCATTCGGAGATGTTACCTGAGGCATCACTTGAACTTGTGTACTATTGTTCCAGCATTGATTACAGGTGAACAATCGGGCTGCCGACACATGTAATGTTGCTGAAGCTGTATCGTCCGTAGGTTGAATAGTTGTGAATACAGACAGTAGAAGTACACGACTGCAATGAATGATTAGTATACGTACTCAGCTGAGAGGTCTGCCGATGTCACTCCTTGTAGATGACCTTCCCCTGTCATCAGATGTTCGCCACTGGACAAATAAATGCACAAAACGCACAGACACACATGTACACACACATACACACACACACTAAGTCACTACAATTGTAGGCCCATCACTCGGCCAGCTTTTAAGAGTGGTCACGCCATGCATGTCTCGTAATCCTGACCTGGTGTAATTCATGGCTGGCACTACATGAGCAAGTAACGATCCACTACACAAGAGAGTTCAATGACTACTTCTACCAACACGATACCCACGTAGCAACCGGGGGAAACGACAGATACTGTACCTAGAAACTGCTTGCAGCGCTGAGTTTCATGCTCAGGCAAAATCCACAGTAGGGCTGCTTGAAACACAGCATGTGTGTGTTAGACCTTTTGAATGTGCCTCCGTGAGACAGTGGTGTCATTGAGCAGGGTCTGACCTGAATACAAGGATACGTGAGTATATGAGGCTTGGTCATGGCTGTGTCCCAGAAATGCTGGGGGGGGGGGTGAAGTGTCGGACAGGAAACAGTGTACACCGGGCCCTACGGAACCGGCCGGTCTGGTTGACCTGGCCATGTCCGCACCGATAGCATTCCGCCACAGTTGTCGGAGTTGGCTATTTTAACCTGCCATATCATGCAAACGGTACACAAGACTGGTATGGCCAGGCCGAACCCAACTTGTGACTGCTTCTGACGGTCCTTTACAAGTACATGATTGTACTGAGGGGTGACATGCCACAATTTAGGTTCAGTGCAAGAAACCGTGCCATTAGTACATAGGATGATATTGGTGCAATTGGGCTAGACTTTCCATATGAGCAAAATTGTGAAGCAACGCCTAGCCCATGGCATATTACCCATGCATGTTCTACAAACCTCGGAAGCTTCCAGGAATGCCACAAGCGATCATTTCCGACAGTCACTGCCAGGCTGTTGTCCCTAGCAAGGCACATTCTGAGTATGAAGGGAAAATAGCAACAGAATGACCAGTTGATCAGATTGATATTCGCAACCAGAACGGTGCCCTGGTCCTGGACAAAGTACAGTGTTTGCCATTGTAAGCGCTAAGCAGGCGTTCAGTTGTAGCAACAACTTGCTGTCAGTGTGGATGCCTACACCACGTGTATTACACTGTATGGCTTAACTCACTTGACAATTCCCCTGTCATGGGTAGCGAACGAGTATTCCAAGCCGAACCCTTTGCGTGGGTCAATGGACACCTCCTGAAGACTAGCAAACGTTGGTGGTTTCCCAGGCGGCTTGACCAAGTCCGGCATAGGGGCCAGCTGGAAAAAACACATCCAGATACTCCATCAAGTATGTGTATAATTTATGCATACACATTGGTATTACATGCACATTGGTATTACATACACATTGGTATTACATACACATTGGTATTACATACACATTGGTATTGCATCACATTGGTATTACATGCACATTGGTATTACATACACAACAGACCACTGTGGGTAATAGCGGTGACATGTCTCCGTATAAACGGTTCACATGCACTAAAGCCGGGCTTACAGTTTGCACCGGATCTTTGCCAACAACGCACAGTTCACGCACGCGCGTACGAGTGAGATTAGGTGTCTTGCCACTTACATCAATTGGTCCGTCGTCCCGTCGAGACGGCATTGTAGCTGATCCTTTCACTACACCATGTCCTGTGTCCGATTCACGCACGGCGTCGGAAATCAGCGCACTCCCATGTTCCCTGCTCTCGTCTGCACTTAGACCACTGGTGCCGGCGTCGTTGACTGGGATCATCTCATCCAGCACTCTCCGGAAGTAATCACCAGCAGCGGTAGTGTCTCCTGGTGCTGTCATGGGGGCAGTTTGGCCACTCACCGATGCCAACGTGTCGTCAGTCTGCAAATTACCATTTGTCAGCGTTGCCATGTTGTTGCCGCCGGCCGGCTTTTCCACGTCAACGTCGAGCTCTCTCCTTGCCAGCGGTGCAGGTGGTGCCAATGGGTTAGCCTCTCCACTTCCTGGTATCGCAGCGGGCGACAGCGGATCTCGAGGCACTGCCACCTTGCCTCGCACGTTGGTGGACATTGGTATGGTGGTGGTGTTCCGCTGGGCATTTCTAACCGTCTCGTTCACATTAGACTCTGATTAACCAAGAAATAATACACACAGCATAGCAAGCAGATCTAAAATGCATGTACCGTATCAGGGAAAGAGTACATGCTATCAGTCAGGATAGCAAGAATTTACTGGAAGCTACAAACACATCAGCTAGATCAGCTCGACTGAACAGGCACCAAACGCTCACCGTGTGCAATCGTTGCCTTCAGGGACAATAGCTACACATTGGGAAGTAACGCGAGTGTGTGCGCATGTACACATACCACCGCCACACCATTACACGCATGTGCACGAACGCGTGCATGTGCACACACACACACACACACACACACACACACACACACTAAGATCATTAAAGTGAGGAATATGCTGCTGGGCTTTGAAGAATGCGCACAAGATCAATAAGGAGGTGCCACACAGATTTTACAGGACTTTAAATCGACATTAAAGCAAAATACGCCAACTGAAGCCTTCGTAATCTTATCAAACTGAAGTACAGATCCTTTTAACCCTTCACGGCAATCTCTGTCTAATCAACCAAGTGAAGTTTGAGATAACGAATAAAGAAAATGCCGACCATTCACCAAACCAGGCGATACTGTATAGCAGGAAATTTTCGGACGGAAATATTTTCGGACAAAGCCGAATTTTGACCTTTGAAGTTTCGTACGGATTTTATTTTCGTACAGTGCTGCATGCTAAATGCACGTGTTCGCAAGCAGTACGCATGTATACTATTGTACGCATGTATACTATTGTATAGTGTACATAATTTCACAAGAACAAATTTTAGTACAGAATATATTTTAGTAGAAAAGAGGCCATGTACGAAATTTTCCGAAAATAAATTCCGTCCGAAAATTTCCTGCTATACAGTATATCATAGATCAACCCGCAGTCCAATCACACATCCACGATCCATGGAGAGTTTCACATCACATGACATGGTTCCTATAACATTATTATGCTATGCTGGAAACAGTTCAAAGTGGCCACCAGAGAGTTGTACCCAAAGCAGGATTGCGTCCAACCCTGTAGCTACCGTGCACAGGGTGCAGGGTGCACGTAGTGTGTACAGGTTTGTCACGTGATGTGAAGTCCTGCAGTCGCGCACTGACGCGCAAACATCATACTGGAGTTGCGCACTCTTGGGTGTTACATACTCTGCAGGACTTGCGGTAGAACTTAACACATTGCTCATACCTCTTTCTTTGTCTTCTCCAGTTCCAGGCTTGCCATGGATTTCTCACGAAATAATACCTGAAGGAACCAAACATGGAAATGACAAGGAGTAAAGAAACGATTACTATAAAGTGGTCATATGCAGCTGCGTTAAATTCTGGAGAGGTGTACGCTTCTCGTTGGCTGAGAATTCGAAAGAGACTATGTGGTGACTTTTGACTTGAAAAGCGGTTATCACCACATTGAAATTGCGGAAGAGCACCGGAAGTATCTTGGCTTCCGATGTAAAGTGGACGGTAGAGTCTCTACATTTGAGTTTTGCGTGTTGCCATTTGGCCTTTCCACGGCGCCCTTTATTTTCACAAAGTTGACAAAGCCCTTGCTTGCGCATTGGAGACGGCAGGGTATCCGTTGTCAGTTGTACATGGACGATGGCACTGGGGGGCATGAGTCATACCAAGGTGCATTGAAAGTGGCAGCCACAATGAAAGCTGACTTAATTCAAGCAGGTTTCACTCCTCACCCAACCAAATGCTGTTGGATACCCTCTCGTAAAGTCGAGGTGCTTGGATTCGAGCTTGATTTTGAGCACGGAGAGATAACGGCTTCAAACAGGCGGGTACAGCTATTTCAAAAGAGGGTAGCAGAATTGCAGCGCAAAAGACCAGTTTCAGCACGAGCTGTAGCGAGCCTTGCTGGGACTTTGCTCTCTATGTCTGTAGCACTAGGGCCAATCTGCAGGCTCCGCACTAGAGGAATGTACCGGTTTATCGAAAGCAGAAGCACATGGAATGCATTGAAGTTTTTGCCAAGCGATGTTGCAGAAGAAATCCGATTTTGGGCAAACACATTTGCCAAGCTGCATGGCCAGCCGATGTGGAAATCCGAGCCAGTAAAGGCAGTACTGACCTGGTCCGACGCCAGTGATAGTGGATGGGGTGGTTTTACCCTGTCAAAAGGTTTTGAAGTTGCTCGAGGGAATTGGCCCCCTGAAGTTTGCGAACGAAACATGAGCTCCACGTGGCGGGAACTGAAGGGCACCGAATTGGTCCTTGAGTCCCTGGCTCTGGCTGTTGAAGGCTGTACTTGCATTCATCGCACTGATAACCAAGCAGCAGGTTATATTCTGATGAATGGAAGTAGGCATGCGCATTTGCAGGAAATAGCGTTGTCAATCCATAGGATTTGCCAGCAGTATGGTATTCAGCTAGTTGCAGAATGGGTGCCGCGTGAAGAAAATGAACTTGCGGATTATTATTCAAAAATCATTGACGCCGATGATTGGAGTGTTAATCCTGTTGTTTTTGAGTGGTTGGATGAAGAGTGGGGCCCACATACCCTAGACTGTTTTGCTAGTGTGAGCACAAGGAAAACTGATGGATATTGTTCACGATGGTGGAACCCAGGCTGTGTTGCGGTAGATGCATTCACGTTTCCATGGGAGGGAGAGAATGTTTGGCTTACCCCACCTCTGTACCTGATTGGCAAAGTTATCAAAATGGTAGAGTTCTATGAGTGTCATGCCACTCTAATCGTACCTAAGTGGGTATCTGCTGCATGGTGGCCATTGTTATTCCGGGGCACTTCTTGGTGCTCATTTGTCAAAGAATGCATTGACATCCCTTTAAGAGACGATACATTCCTGCAGGGTACATGCCCGTGGAATTTGTTTGGGAAGGGGACACCAAAGTGCAAAGTGCTAGCCATACGTTTGTGCACAGTTGCACGGTGCAAATGCTGAGGCCACAGTATGCCCATTTTGTGTTGGTGTTGATGCAGATGTGCATGGGCCCGGATGCCTAAAATGCACATGTTCTGGAGCCCCCCGCTGCTAGCGGCCAGCTCACTCAACCTTGGAGCACCTGTGCACCTTGGAATGATGATGACGTCGATGATGGTGGTGCTGACGGCAAAGATGATGATGCTGAGAAGAAGACGATACTTGATAGCGGCAACAACAACAGCCGTGAGATGCCGATACGATGTACACCAACTTGTCAAAGATTGGGCTGTATTTGAATTCTCGCCCTGAAAGTGTCTTGTCTCGCTATGACACATCACCTGCAGATTGCCTTCAACACCTCCAGTGGCCAACGCACCTGTCATCGGAGATGTCGCTGTTGGCTCAACAGTTACCAACCGTGTTAGAAGGCGCCAGGGCAAAGTCAACCGTCAAGAAGTACAAGGCAAGTTTCACGCAGTGGCAGAGGTGGGCCAAAGGTCAAGGTATTTCGGCTCTCCCGGCAGACCCGCTGCATGTAGCATTGTACCTAGTCAAGAAGATTGCCACTTCCAGTACACCAGCGCCGGTCTCTGCAGCGGTCCATGGAATCAGTTGGAAACATAACACCTATAGTCATCCTGATCCATGCCGAGTACCCATGGTGCAAAGGGTACATCAAGCAGCAAAGAGATTTCTCGCCACGCAGCGCAGGAGGAAAGCCCCGCTGACACCGAAACTGCTGAAGAAGCTGAAGGTCTCATTGTCTACTGGAAAGTTGCAGGATCTCCAAACCCTGACACTCGTTACGTTAGGGTTTGCTGGTTTCCTCCGCTGGGACGATCTTGCTCATGTCCGAATAGATGCCCTGTCCATTCATCGAGACTACATGGCTGTTTTCCTGGAATGCAGAAAGAACGACCAGTTCCGGGAAGGTAGCTGGGTGTTCATCAGCCGTTGGGAACAAGACCTCTGTCCAGTTCAACTAGTTGAACAGTTTCTCGCCAGTGGTGACCACTCGCCAAACTCAACATTGTTTGGCAGAGTCCGAACCTACCATGGTCGACAGGTTATTCGGTCCCAGATGTCATACTCCAGAGCGAGGGAGTTAGTACGGGCGGCATTGGCGGCAGTTGGAGAGGATCCTGACAAGTATGGTGTACATAGCCTCCGTTCTGGGGGTGTGTCCGTGGCAGCTGCAGCAGGTATCCCAGACCGTCTAATTCAGCGCCATGGAGGATGGAAGAGTGAGTCTGGTATGAAGTCGTATTTCTCGGAGTCCCTGCCTAACCTCCTAAGAGTCTCTAGTGCCATTGGGCAGGTGGTTGCATGAACAGCAGACATGTGGTCATAATGTATATATATGTATATCTTTCCTAGTCGTAATTTATATTATAATTATGTATTATCTTTCCTAGTCGTAATGTATATATGTATATCTTTCCTAGTCTCCTGGCGTCCATGCTGATTCGTCTCTTAATGTTCTTATTCATGCCCGGCTATGCTTTGTCGGCTTGCAATGTGGCTGTCCGCAGCCGACCCTGCACTGTGGTTTTGCTGGTGCAAATGTGAGGTGTGAGAGAGAAGTGTACGCTTCTCGTTGGCTGAGAATTCGAAAGAAACGAGAAGCAATGTTCTCTCGAACTTCGAATATTTGCGAAGCTTGTATTATTTTTTGTTGTGGCACGCAGTGCAGGTTGACGTCACTGTAGTGACGTAATCGTTGTTGAGCGAGTGCAATGTGGCTGTCCGCAGCCGACCCTGCACTGTGGTTTTGCTGGTGCAAATGTGAGGTGTGAGAGAGAAGCATTATTTCCAAAAATCATCTTGATCCTATCAGACATTTTCTCACTTAGGAGCACCGCACACATATCTCGCAATTTTTACATTATCTGACACAGCTGAAAGTCAATCGTAGCAGTCTTTTGTTGCATCACAAGTTAGAATTCACACAAACACTCGTTTCTCTCGGGATCAGAGAGATAGGATTGTGCCGGTATAGATGATGTTGACCCACAAACTGTTGTCAGTGGAATCAAGCCAAGTGTCCAAGTCTGTATTTCAACTATGTTCATCTGACAATGTGCTTTGAGAAACATAACCTCGACACATGCAGCCCGTGATCTCCCTCCATTTACTCACATCAAACTTCTCTTTGAGTTGGCGCAGAGTTGGCTCATAGCTCTCGTAATGTGCGGACATGCTACAATGGCAGTAACACCAATCAGAACAGACGTTGAAACACAACACAGAGATTATTGCTCGGTGCCATCAACACAAACAACCTTGCCGGGGAGAATGTATGCATCGGACCCTACTGCACCAGTTGTCTCGGAGAGTTTTACTAGCTGTTTTTGCTCCGGAGTCGGTTGGTCATGTAGTGACTAGTCAGAAGTCAAGTGCATGCACCTAGACGCTTAGCTAGCTTAGTCAGGGCGGCATATTTCTCCAGTGACTCACCCAATTCTCGCAACCGTGCGCTTCCTGCGTGTGAAAAGGTCTCCGCAAGTGAAAGAGAACGAGGCTGGTTACGATGGCAGGAGACGCCCCATGCTCGAATGTGTTGCCCAGTACACTCCCCCCTCCTACACCAGGGTTTCCTGACCCTGATTTCATCCTTGTGAAGCATCATATACGTGATTTGGCAACCAAGGTTCCAAGGGATTGGTAAGACAGTCAGAAGCCAGTGCTTGGTTAGTGTACCCATCCTTACCGCTTCATTTTGGCATTGAGTGACCGCAGCTCCAATGTCGACTGCCGGTCGCGGACTCTGTGATGGTCACGTATCAAGCTTACCCTCTCAAAGTTCCTTATCGCCTTCCTGCACAAGTTGACCAACAATTACAGCCATTGAAAATACAAATAAATAGGAACTCAACAAGCTGTGGTCAGAAACCGGTCAGCAAGAAACTGGTGTAGTGTCCTCTACCAACTAGGCATGTCTAGTTGCTAAGCATTCTTGATGTTGAAAAGTTGAAAACTGCACAATGCATGTATAAGTAAACAATGTCAAACAATAATGCTACACATTTGCGCCAATCATTCAACTGCTCACAGGTGGTGGGCATGGTCACCCTAGTCACCCACTATGTGTGCTGCACCGACCATAGCATATGTTAGTCCGGTACATTGGTAGATGCTCAAAAAGCCTTCTGCCATGCATAACGTTATCACCCACAATAGGACTGACGCCCCAGGCTTCAAGATTAGTGTTCAGCAACAAATGCTATGAGCAAGGTAAAGGCTAAGGTAGCCGATCGTCAGTTCTGACTGTAGGGGTGGGACGCCACAACGGTTAGAGATCTATTGCTCTCAATAGCTACTGTAGGGAAGTGAAGCACTTTATACCGTTTTGGAGATAGTTTGACATGAACTTACTTAGCTATAGCATCTTGAGTGGCCATTTCTTCTCGGAGAAAGGTGACTTGACCGTTCAGGTATTCATTTCTTGGTCATCAGCATATGAACACAACATGACACAGACGGGAGTTAATGCCACCTGTGACCAAGGGGACTTCAGGTGTGCCACGATGGTAACAGTTTGGGTGTAAACACCACAGTGCCGGTGACGTCATCTCATGCGATACCACACAATACACTTCACTAGTGACAGCAGAATTGGTTACACTGACCCAAGTGTCTTCAGCCATTATGTTGATCGACTGTTGGAAGCCCACAAACCGGAGCCACCTGATTGCAATTGCGTATTGACAGTAAGATAAAGATCGATGCTGATAGTGAACTGTTTAGTGCATAATCATGAACAAAGAATGACACCGATTCACAGTTGTTCCACAGCACAAGCTAAGCAGTATACCTGTTGAACACTACTGAACAGGAATGATTGAGATCATCAAAACTCACTCTGAATAGACATCTGGAAAGTTGTTGACATCTTCCGGGTGTAGCTGTCCATTCTCTGCCAGCTCGATCCTATAGTGAGGAGTGTTGTGATTGCGGTACAGGATACCAAACACACACATGATCCCACAACACAAGGTGGTCACAGTTAATAAAGAATGCAACCACAGTTAGAAAGATCAAGGCTGTGGTTGTACACTTAGCTCACCGATAGGCGAGGCTACAAAGCAGCTTGGTGAAAGCCAGTAGCTAGCGGGAGCCTAGCAAGAGGATTCCGGTTGGTCCGGCCAAATGGGATACTGCCTTACTGCATCGGAAACGGACACTATCGAAAATCCCGTTTTGCACGGATTGGGCGGGACAACCTTTTCGAAACAAGGTCCGACCATGTAATACTACTAGTGCGGCCAAAGCACCTTACCACTCACCACTCTTCTTCAAACACTCTCAGTGTTTTGTTCATCCCTTTACGCACCAGGAAGCCGCGTACAAACTCATCAGTCACTGATGGTGTCTGCAGTTTGGACCAAGACAAGAGCATACAGGAAAAGGCAGTCGGCAACATGTAGACTGCTAGAAGAGCACTTGCAAATCCAGGTACATGTTGTTCCGTTGTGTGCTCAACGGATGGGGCACAAGGACATCCTGCTTTCTAACGAAAATTGCACGTACTTCCTAAACCGCATGCAGACTCCACCTGTGCAAACACTTCTGCATAGCCACACGTGTTCCGTGACCATGACAAGGCTTTTATTCGTAAACTCACCGTTTTGATAGTTGCTGCTACAGGCTACTCCATACCAAGTAGGCAAACATTGTGAAAGTGCACACACACACACACACACACACACACACACACACGCATACCGTAATCACCCATACACAAACACACACATACACACACACACGCGCGCACGCATTCATGCGTGTACCCATGCAAACACCAAACCAGACACATAATTATAGTGAACTTGTGAAAGCTGTGTGTGTTGTTACCACATCCATCGTAATACTTCGGAATGGCTAAACCCGAGTGCACTGGACGATAAAAAAACAATTCAAACCAACACTGTGGCTGCAGCATGGCTACGCATGGCTAGGCCTGGCTATGCATGGCTATGCCTGGCCGTATTGTATGCCTGGCTATGCTTGGCTATGCCTGGCTAGATATGTTTGGCTATGCCTGGTTAGCTATGCTTGGCTATGCCTGGCTATGCCTGGCTATGCATGGCTATGCATGGCTATGCTTGGCTATGACTGGATATGCATGGCAACGCCTGGCTATGGTGAGACATTGCAAACTGTCTCCCCTGGTCGACTAGAAATCTCAAACTGCATTGGACAGTGTTGTACCAAGTACATGTACTAGCACTGTGAGACAGGAGCAAGATGCACAGATCAAACTCGAGTATCGATGAGCAACGAATGATTTGCAAGACATACCAGTACTGGTTTTTATGTACCCTTCAACACGCAACCCCATAACCATCCTGCTTTCAAACATTGTGTCTACAGGGTGCCAACTTGCAATTCAAGTTTTGTTATCATTCACCATACTCTCAGACTCGTACATGCACTACAGTCTCTGCCACTGAAATCCTGCAAAGCACTTTGAGATGGTGCAGCGCATGGTATGTAACCGGAGTATTCCGTCAAAATGTCATGCGAGCAATTGCATTGAAGTAGGTGTATAATCATTAGGGGTGAAAGTTGACACTGAAATCCCGAGTTCGAGCACTCTGATTTGCTCCGATCGAATATTCGAGTATTCGAGTATTCTTCATCTCCTAAACAGTGCACACCAAGGGCCTTAAGATCACATTATACAACCTTGGTTGAATCGATTGATGATCTCTTTTTTCAGGTATACTGGTTGGTGGGTCATTTGGGCTCTCTCTATTCATGAACAAAGGCTCACTACACAGTCTGCACATCAATATCTACTGACTGCTGCTCTGAAACTGTAGATTTCTGTGGTAAATGCATGTACCGTGGATGAACGAGTACTCTGATTTATTTCGAGTACGGTTATTCTTGAAAAAAACGAGCGAGTACTCGAATATTCGGTGTAATTGTTTCACCCCTAATAATCATGAAACGTGGGCCCCGGGACCTGCAGAACAAGCTGGCAGCTTACTAAGGTCTTGGTCCAGACATGTTCTTGCAAGCGCCCAGAAGTGCAGAGCACAAACAAAAAAACTCCAAACTGCGCCTTCGCATCAGACATAGTTGAAGGGCAAGGGAAATGAGCCCAGTTGCCCACAGCTGGATCTAACATTACTATTCATGTGCCCTGAGTGCAGCACATATTACCTGTGAGGTAACCCTGTCCTCTGCTTTCAGGATCCGCACAGATTCGGAAAAGCCTTCTGCCTCTATACTCACAACGAAGCAGCGCAAAAGCAAAAATGCACACACACACACGCGCGCGCGCGCACACACACACACACACACACACACACACACGTGAATGCACACATGCAAACACACCCACCCACACATACACACACACACATGCCCATACACACACCAGTGCACACACACACACCAGTGCACACACACACACACACACACACACACACACACACACACCAAGCGTGTCAGTCCAATCCAATGTCAAATTGCAACAGAATCACTATACAACAAACACGTACCGTATATTCTCCATTATAAGCGCCGTGCTTCTATTTTTTCAACACCCCTCTACCCCGTGCTTATATTGGAGACCGCGCTTATATTGGAGACCGTGCTTATATTTTTTCAACCAATACATCCATACAGAGCAAGAAGAAATACATGCTAGATATCATGCGTGCAGCATTGATTTCCACCAAGACCGTGCTAATAATAGAGACTGTGCTTATAATGTTTCGAAAGGTGCTCACAGTGTGCTAGTATTAGAGACTGTGCTAGTAATGGAGACCTGTGCTTATAATAGAGAATATACGGTAATTGATAGTGTAATAATATCATAAATAACTAATATACTCACCAACATCGGGGATGTCGCCATCGGCAAGCTGTAATCACATGATCACATGACATGAAAGACAGACAGTGAAATAAGTACATGTACATGTATAAACAATGGACGGCGTTAGTCATGAAAGATCGCACTTACTAGGATAATTCCTAGCTTCCTACAAGTATACAGTGAAACCAGGGAGTCGTAAAATACCGGTATTTTACGATTCCCTGAGTGAAACCTGTCTAAGACGACCGCTCAGGGGACCTTCAAAATGTGGTCTCTGTTACCAGGTGATCTGCTTATCCAGGGTCATTTGACGGAACGTAGCATCCATTGGTCCCGGCTGCAGTGGTCTTCTGGGAGAGGTGGCCGCCTTATCCGAGTGGTCGCCTTGACATGTTTTACTGTAGTACTAGTAGTAGTAGCAAGAGTACATAAACCAGAGTGTGCAACTGTGCATATCAGATCTGAAACAGCGCAGTTCGTGCACTACGTCACCCTGGTGAGGTCAGCCAAGCCGCGACTTGCGTACAGCTCAAATTTTCGTGTTTCACAGACCGGAAATCAACCAAGTTTACATGATTTTAGTCGTCTTGTTTTAGGATTTCGGTGTTTTTGTGTGACTGCGTATGCTGCCTACACCCGCTGACAAGTAAATTCACCAGGCTTTCCGTTTCAAAAAACCGAAATCAGGACAAACTCAGTGACCTGCACCACCGTGACTGGTTACGCAACCTTTCACCGTACCTGTGGCTTACCATGCCGTCAGAAATGACGTAGTGCACGAATTACGCTCCCACAGGAACCATCCCGAGTTGCACACTCTGGTTTATGTACTCTTGGTAGTACCCATGGACCAAGCACCATAGAGGAGATTATGCTGATGACACCATCTGATATGCAGTTTTCATGGAGAGGCAAACACGTACTTGCGATGTCACATGCAGTGCCACTCCACACAAGACACTTCGAATGATGACGTCATCGCAGAACTATCCCAGCCCATGTACTGTGTTGTGTACATTAAGGTCCGGTTAGAAGTCAAGCGGCCACGCTGCGCAGGCCTTGCAGCCATGGTTACACATACAGTATACAGTTATGAGACTACAGACTACAGTGCTCTATGTACTCTATTGCTTGCTGGTCCATTTTTGCAATACGTGAACCAACGTGTGTGTGCAAGTCACAGCTACGCTCCAAGGGCACCGGTCCTGGTCATTCCTACGGATTTCAACGTCCACAACAGTACGCAGCACAACAGTACACAGCACAACAGTACGCAGCACAACTAGAGCAGCAAGAAATGGACAACGAAGGCATCACGCCATGCGCAGTGTGAACAGATCGCATACCAGTATGAACAGATCGCATACCAGTATGAACAGATCGCATACCAGTATGAACGGATCCTATAACAGTATGCCAACCCATTTTGCATGCTGTAGTAGCACTGTAGCATCCGCTCCGGTCATAAAACGTTGACCCATCCAATTGGAGCAGAACGGGGGATTACTCGCAAACCCCAGCTCTCCCCTCCCTCCCCCCAATCCAAAACATCGTCCCACGCCACTGTAGATGATGTTGATGATCTGCATACTTTGAAGTGGGACCAATCAGGAAATAGGTAGCAACAACCAGAGTCACGAGTTCCTCCCAGTTTTGTGTCATGTTACCTGTTTGATGATCTCATCATCCAGTAGAAGAACCTCTTGCTTCAGCTGCTTCTCTGTACACAGGCATAAGTAACACATTCACAGCAAACACGCGCAGCCACACACACAGACGCACCATGTTATGTTTAACTGGCTTTAAGTTGAGTGCATGGGGTTGGACAGGAGAGGATCTGTCCAGGTCACTGTCTGGCTCACTGGCCCAAGTGGTGAATGGTGGAATAGAGAGAGAGAGAGAGAGAGAGAGAGAGAGAGAGAGAGAGAGAGAGAGAGAGAGAGAGAGAGAGAGAGAGAGAGAGAGAGAGAGAGAGAGAGAGAGAGAGAGAGAGAGAGAGAGAGAGAGAGAGAGAGAGAGAGAGAGAGAGAGAGAGAGAGAGAGAGAGAGAGAGAGAGAGAGAGAGAGAGACGGAGAGTAACGGAGAGAGAGACGGAGAGTAACGGAGAGAGAGACGGAGAGAGAGAGAGAGACGGAGAGAGAGAGACGGAGAGAGAGAGAGAGACGGAGAGTCACACGGAATAGGGATCTTGCTGCAACAAGTGAGAAGTGTAAGTTGGGGATCAGTTGAAGCCTCCGAGCCGCCCGACAGCCTCAGCTCAAACTGGTTCTGATGCTCGCACTGTTGCAGGCTTGTAGCAAAACTGACATAGGATAGTGCTGTACACCACTTCAAGTTTTCACAATCGAAAAGTGTCACACCACAATGTAAGGTTGAGCTAAGCTTGTAAGTAACATACAGCATTACATGTACTTGAAGTACTATACTGGCAATATGTATGGTCGCAGTGAGGCCATGAAGCGTTACGTTGGCACATGTTAACCGCACGCAGGGCGTTACATGCAAAGTCGCACAGGAGCCGTTACACAAGTTTCTATTGCCGCAGTCCTTTTTTTGCTATTGCCGCATCACTTTTTTGCTATTGCCGCATCATTTTTTTTGCTATTGCCGCATCATTTTTTGCAAACTGCAATGAAAAGATCGCCGCACCCCGCCGGACGCGCGTTACGAACGCAACGAAAATTTGTCGCACTAGCCTGGTCGCGCGTTACGCCGCACCCCCTGCGTTACGCGTTACGCGGCAACATATATTGCCAGTACGGTAGTTACTTACAACATTCCTGTTTCCCCTACGCATGATGTGTTGTATGCACATGCAATTATGCAGCAAACACCATGAACACCTACAGTCACAGCACAAACACGTCAGCACATATCCACTGTCCACTGCCACACTGCCATTACTGAAGGGAGCGACCATACAGTTCCCTGTCGGGATGGATCTGTTGGCGAGTTGCGAACAGGGCTTACCGTAAGCCTCCCCGTTGAGTTTATCCTGTGCCGGTTGCTGAGTCATCTTCTCGTCCAGACTACTTGACCAACAGTAACGACAGTCAACCACCGATCCGTGTACCAGCGTGTGGTGTGAGTACCGGTTTCTTCACGTCTATGCTATTCACATGCAACTCCAAGCTGGTCTTCGTCGAGTCTGTTGTAGTCAGTCAAGAACATTCACACAGGGTGGGTACACTGTGGTCCTACTCCTAGACTGTGCATCAGTTTGTGAACTGGCGCAGAGAGCACCGCAGAGCCGAGTGCCTCCAACAAACTCAAGTCAAGGGCTGCCTGTTGTTCTGGGTCGGGATTTGGCGAAGCGACTACGCGAGCGGCGTGCCTGCACAAGAACCACACAGAGAACAGCAACATAGATGTACCACTCACACTGACTGAAAGTGTCTGGAGACCTACCGTAGTCACTGCATGCATATCAAGGACTAACTCACTACCTAATGAGCACAACATCCTGCCAGTGGACACTGGGGTGCTCGGACCCTGTGACAGTAGTTTACCATGGTTTTAATACCAATGACGACCATTGGCATTACGACGAACAGAGCAGTGACCGCGATGCTAGTCGAGTTATTGACACCTGAAAAACAGTCCTTCTAGAGCCCTGAGACGGGAAAGTCGAGGAAAAGAGTTCTATAGAATAATAACAGTCGAGTGCCCTGCGAATGAATGAAAATAAGCGCTTGTGTTAGATATCCAGCCACGGAGAGCTCAGCTAGCTCTTCGCTTTGAAACGCAGTCTAAACAAAAGGTGTCGGAAATGAATGCTAAGACCAGTGCACCCGGCCGTGTGGTAGTTAGCCAAGAAAAGGACAGGATGGTCGATAGCGACCGAACACCATCCAAATAGGTTCTAAACAGACAATGTCACCACAGCTGAGCGACACACAAACTGAAGGGAACCTGTGACTCAGTGTGAGTCATGGAGGTGACAGGAGAGCGCTGAAACCCTTTTATTTACCTTCTCGGGGTACTCTAGCTTGTCCCGCTTGACCAGCTCACTGAGTGCGGCAGCGGCGGAAGAGCAAGTCTGGACCCGGGCACCCACAATACGCAATACTGCCAATAGCTTGACAAAGTACGGTTGAACAGAAAGCAACGATAATCATTGTCTACTAGTAATCACTAGGCTTGTTGAAGTAATTAGTTTCCTCTGAGTTTTTCAGGTGCTACAGTAACATAACATGTCCATCAAACACGTACGGACGTCGAGACGCAGCCTGGCTGAGGTGAGCAACGGAACTTCAGACCAGCGTCGATATCAATTCGTTACACACCCATTTGTAGGACAGGCACTATTCCCGCCGTCCGATACAAACTCAGCTCAGTTGGCTTTTCACTTGGCCATGCCATGGCTTTTCGCCTGCTATGCTGTCAGCCTGTACACCAGGCGCTGGCGCTGGTCACCGTCCCTGCTTCGCGCTGGGTAGTCTACGAACTAGTGACTCGACTTTGCCGTTTAGTTGTCATGGTTTGATTTCCAAGGTAACAATCATTCTTTCTCGCGAAGGACTAAAGGGACCGTCACTTAATTTTTGCCGACTACCCGCCAAAAAAATCTTTTCGTTTCACGTGTCAGACACGTCCGCGAGCGCGTACGACTCGCGCGCGCCCGCGCTACCTTTCACGTCATGTCAATCTGTTCACGCCACATGGCTGGATAGCGCGTACATGCAAACATGATTGAAGACTTGCAAAATCAATTTTTTTCCAAGTCCAGGCGCTAGGCCTAGGCAGTACTAATGCCTAATGCCCAGGCAGCTGACTTTATTTTCGGAGAAACACTACTCATAAAAAAGTAACAATGAATAGCGATATCATCTAGGAAGGATCGCTACCCTAACGCGAAGGAAAGGCCTTGCGCGGCTGCTCTACGAAGTGTTAAAGAAAGACGCATCAAAGTTAGTTGGTGGACGAACAACTCGCTGGCGCCGGAAAACTTGGCCCCCAACGATGGTGTTTGGTGAATCATCAAGCATAATGTCTTGTAGCAGTGTTCACTGAGGAAGGAGAACGCTCTAGCCGCTGCTGTTGTCCGTTTCATCCACGTTGGGCGTTAGCTGCACCGCGCCTATTGTGTTTTAGTATTCCATGGACACACACTAGCATTCAGAGCGACTGTGGAGCCACAATTTACTTCACACAGCGTTGTATTGTCCACGAGCGCAAACTTCATTATCAGTAGTAACTGTTACTCTTCATCCTACATGTAGACTTGGAGTATACACGGCCTTGTCACGACAGCGACAGCTCTACAGAGTGTTCAAGTGAGAAACATTAATTTCTATTGTTGGTGGACGAATAAATGGCTGGTTCCGAAAAAACACGGCCTGCACCGATGGTGTTTGGTGGATCATCAAACAGGGTGACCAGCAGTGTTCACCGAGGAAGGAGAATGCACTCGCCACCACTCCGATTCATCCAAGTGGGCGTTAGCTGCGCCGCGCCTATTGTGTTTTAGTATTCCATGGACGCACACTAGCGTTCTCAGCGATTGTGGAGCCACAACATATCTTCATGCGGCGTTGCACTGTCCAAGAGCAGAAGCGTCAGCAGTGACCCATCATCATACATGTAGATTTGGAGTATACACACCATGCGCCAATGGGCCTTGGCACAACAGCGGCAGCTCTACGGAGTGTTCAAGTGAGAAACATTTGTTTCGACTTTTGGTGGACGAACAAATCGTCGGTGCCGAAAAACGTGGCCTGTGCCGATGGTGTTTGAACCATCGAGGGCTCCGGAAGCAGCAGCTGAGCCAGATCAGCCAGTCTTGCCAACTCTCAGTTGCCGGACTCCGTGCTGCAGCTAGCAGCACTGGCACCAGCCGGAAATATTTTTCCGCCGATACCCGTTACTTCCAGTTCTGTCAAGTGCATAACTGGAATCCATTGCCAGGTGATGACTTTTTACTTTGTGTTATTTTGCTGCCGAGTTGTTCAGAACTTTTCAGCCCCGATCTGTCCATGTCTACATGTCGGCCATCCGCAAACTTCATGTGGAAGTTGGCTTTACCTACCCGTCAGGCCCAATGACTCTCCTCGCAAGGTTCCTGTCGGGCATCAGCAGGTCATCATCGACACAGCGTCATCACCTGCTGATAACCACTCAACTTCTCAGGGAGATTAGCCGGCATGTTGCCTTTCCACGGATGTGGCACCGTCATGACAAGGCCATGCTAAGGGCAAACTGACTGCTTTATTTTAGCTTTACATTACCGCAGTCAGTCCAGCACAATACGCCAATCGTATTTCACTATTACTCGCGTGTCATAATTGGGGATATGGGCTGCTCCGCCCTATATCCCTGATATGCCAACTAGACGAAAAGTGTGTTCTGAGCCTGTATCGCGTATAATAGGCTCATCGTAAAACAAATAATAAAAGTCTTAAAAATCAGGGTTCACGTGACACTCGGGTTCCAGCCAAGTTTTCCGCATCCGCAGGAACGCTACCCCCCTCTTGAATCATAGCATAGTGGACTCTGCAATGAACAGATTATGAAACTCCCTGCAGATTTACTACGGTCATTTCTGGTGACTGGTCTTGGGGCACCGTGGAAGCTGTGAATCATCATGGACTGGTTGCCAAGTTTTGTTTTGTGACTGATCATGGGGCATTTGTGACTACTTCGAAGCACAGCTCTGATTGATAACAGAGTCTTACTGTTGTGAATATTTATATCGATTGAGAAGTCAAGCAGCCACGGGGCGCTGGCCTTGCAGCTGTGAGTATGCATACGGTACATATTCACATGACTCTATTGTATGCTGGACACTGCTGGTCCATTGTTGCAGTGTGTAAGTGAACTGCAGAACCTATTCTGTGATGAAACACCTACTCTTGAAAGACTGAATGTTTGAGCTAATAGTCTTTTACTTCACTCTCATGCTGCTCATATAATTATACCATATGCCAGAAGACCCTAAGTTAGTTCTAAGATTTTGTGGACCATGTGGTACTTTCACTCTACAGCCAAGTCAACCTCTTCGTCAACACACAGGGTTTTACTCAGACACAAGCGAATGGTTTACTCCACTCTGGAGAAGAACACACTGTTTGCTCTCTCGAACACCAACCGCAGATAACTACGGAATGTACTTCAGAAGTAGGAAGTGCAACAACTGCTAGAATATTGAACTGTCGTCTACACAAAACAAATAAAGACAACTGAAAACCAAAACACATGCAACTGCCAACATGCATGTAACAGCAACTGCAAGCCAGAACTACAGACTCCGCGCAGGGAGGAACAGGGGAAACAGAGGTAACGCTTCCGACTCCGAGAGCTTCGAATAGCAGCGGACAAAACAATCCATCAGCCTTGCGTGTCACCTTGCGCTACCGCAAACGAACACCTATGGATGCACAGTGCAGCACAGACTCAGTGCATGCCTGTGTAATAACTGGAGTACATGTAAACCGACAACGGTCACCTTGCACCCTATGCAGTAAGTTACATAGGCGGTGCCAACAAAAGAGCAGGGTTCGTGTATCGTGCACACTCCAATGGCACAGCAGAAAATGTTCTCACCAATAGCCACTGCTAGCTGTTTTGTCATCTTGCTGTGCCAAATGATGCTGTATAGACGCGCCAAGCAGAAATGGACTGCTTATGAGCGTGAACAGGCTGGATGGGGTGACTGATGGACTGTCGGAGTTGGCGAACCACAGAAATCGTGTCGCATCTCTGTATACTGGGTTGGCACTGATTTGTAAAATGGCCTTCTCAGTATCGCAGGTCATGACGATTGGTGGCAGGCAATATCGTAGAACAATGATGAATTGCCAAATGGCTAGGTCGTTGTTAGTAAGATTGCCTGAATCCTGGATGTCAACACAGTCTAGGTCCCACAGATCTGGGATGGTGCAGGAGTCGGAAGTTGCATCAGTTAGAGAAACGATAGCTGGCATGGCTGCTCATCGGCGTAGCTGAGTGTTTGGAGTGACGTGTTCGGCCAGTCACCACAAAACCGACTGTGGTAGGCAGAAACTGTAGTCCTGGCGGAAGTCCTCTGGTGCTCCCCGTCAAGACTCCCAGAGGAAATCTGCACCGATCAAGACGACTGACTATCTTACGGTCAATGGCGATACTGGTTGATGCTGCACTAGCTGCTGTTGCGCTAGATGCTGGTACCTCGTCAGCCACAGGCTGGTCAGCTACTATGTTGGTACTGCTGTCAGATTTCTGTTGAGATTCAGGGCAGATCGTGACATGATGGTGACTCTGATTGGTGACCCATGCGAGAACACACATTACACTTGCGGGTGGCCTTGCACTGAGTTGACCGGTGCCCTGTGCGCAAACACACAAAGCAACGCTTCTGTTCAATCAGTTATTCTTTCCGCTGTGCTACTGTTGTGTATTTCGCGCAGCTCTTGTCCAGGTGAGATCTGCCGCAGAATGCACACCCTCTCATACTGCTGGCATTCCAGTTAACATCAGACCGCTTCCTTCTGGTGAACTTGCATGCGCCTGTCACCAGTGCACCTGCAGAATAGTGAGTGACATCTTCTGCTGTAGTACCGCCTGTGTTTGTGCGGCGCAGAAAGGCGTCTTGCATGATAACATAACGCTTCAGTGCTGTTCTGAAGTCATTCAGTTTCCATTGTGTCCCTGCATCTGAAAAGCCTCGCGATTCGTCCAGTTGAATCAGCGTTCGGCATGATCCGTATCTTGGTCACAGCACCGTGTGACGATCTGGTGACATCAGACGGATATAATACACAAGAGACAATTGTGATATTTCTACGTTGTGTTTACTTCAGATACATAATCTAAAAAGGGGGGTTGTCAACCGACAACCGCTCTATTTAGTTGCTTTTCACTCTTTAGATGAAAATTCTTTTATTAATTATGTCGAAAAATTATGCGGTTGTCAGTTGACAACCACCCTTTAATTTACACTGCACTTGCGTGATGTCCACCACTTTCTGTACATAATCTAAGAGTACTAAAACAGCCACTGACTTCCAACTACCAAGGGAAAGCAAGCCCAAGCGCAGGAGAACCGTGCGCGCGCGCGCGGGTACGTGACATATAATATCGTAGTAGAGCTGGCAGGCAAGGCATGATCAGGGGTTCAGGCCCTGCCTGTAAACGCTCTGATTGGCTCAAACCCTGGCAACAATCACGTGACATGTCTGAAAGTACAAGTAGTTGCGATTTATGCTGAAGTTCAAACTGACGGAACACGTGCAGCGCTACACCATGAACCGTGTGGAAACAAAAATAAGTAGAGGAGACACGGGATAACAGACATGAACTCAGGGTCAAACTGATAACTGTGAAACGTGAATGCATGCAGTATATGGAGACAAAACAAAGTCACAGAATTCAGTACGTAACAAGTACTACACACTAACCTCGTACATGAGAATGTCACGACACCATTTGAATTAGCTCTTACACCCCATTTATGTTTCAGTCAGTAAGAGAACACATGCGTACTTACGTTGACTCTATTTTATCTGACTTGTCCAACACCATCGTTGTGAGCCTTCGGCACTTGGGAATACACAGGACAGATAAGATAGCAGCAAGAGCATCTCCCCGCTCTGTGAACACAGCTCAGACGCCATGCTTCATGATTGTGTGCCCATGGAATACAAGGACACAATAGACTCGGTGCAGCTAACGAAATGGATGAACGGTCGACGGCCTGAGTGTTCTCCTTCCTCGATCAACACTGACAGTCACCACATACCATGCTTGATGTTTCAAGCACCATCGGCGCAGGCCACGTTTTTCGGCACCGACGATTTGTTCGTCCACCAAAAGTCGAAACAAATGTTTCTCACTTGAACACTCCGTAGAGCTGCCGCTGTTGTGCCAAGGCCCATTGGCGCATGGTGTGTATACTCCAAATCTACATGTATGATGATGGGTCACTGCTGACATTTCTGCTCTTGGACAGTGCAACGCCGCATGAAGATATGTTGTGGCTCCACAATCGCTGAGAACGCTAGTGTGCGTCCATGGAATACTAAAACACAATAGGCGCGGCGCAGCTAACGCCCACTTGGATGAATCGGAGTGGTGGCGAGTGCATTCTCCTTCCTCGGTGAACACTGCTGGTCACCCTGTTTGATGATCCACCAAACACCATCGGTGCAGGCCGTGTTTTTTCGGAACCAGCCATTTATTCGTCCACCAACAATAGAAATTAATGTTTCTCACTTGAACACTCTGTAGAGCTGTCGCTGTCGTGACAAGGCCGTGTATACTCCAAGTCTACATGTAGGATGAAGAGTAACAGTTACTGCTGATAATGAACTTTGCGCTCGTGGACAATACAACGCTGTGTGAAGTAAATTGTGGCTCCACAATCGCTCTGAATGCTAATGTGTGTCCATGGAATACTAAAACACAATAGGCGCGGTGCAGCTAACGCCCAACGTGGATGAAACGGACAACAGCAGCGACTAGAGCGTTCTCCTTCCTCCGTGAACACTGCTACAAGACATTATGCTTGATGATTCACCAAACACCATCGTTGGGGGCCAAGTTTTCCGGCGCCAGCGAGTTGTTCGTCCACCAACTAACTTTGATGAGTCTTTCTTCAACACTTCGTAGAGCAGCCGTGCAAGGCCTTTCCTTCGCGTTAGGGTAGCGATCCTTCCTAGATGATATCGCTATTCATTGTTACTTTTTACTACAATGAGTAGTGTTTCTCCGAAAATAAAGTCAGCTGCCTGGGCATTACTCCATTAGGCATTATATTACCGTACTGGCAATATATGTTGCCGCGTAACGCGTAACGCAGGGGGGTGCGGCGTAACGCGCGACCAGGCTAGTGCGACAAATTTTCGTTGAGTTCGTAACGCGCGTCCGGCGGGGTGCGACGATCTTTTCATTGCAGTTTGCACTGCAAAAAAAAGGCTGAAAACTGTGAAAGCACGTGTACCGCGTGGTGAAAAGTTCAAAACTGGACGCAGCAGGAAGTCCTGACACTCGAAGGCGCATCACTCAGTGGTTGGCGATCTCAATGGTTTCTTCTTTCCCGAGGTCGTTTTGCGCAGAAGAGCGATGTGTTTACCAGTTTCCTTGTGACAATGCAGAAGTCTCTATTCGCCTTCGGCGTGAAGAAAATCACGCCCAAGCATCATTCAGTGGTTGGCGATCTCAATGGTTTCTTCTTTCCCGAGGTCCAGCAGCAGTGATGACTAATGATAGCCACGGTGACTTTGTAATAATATAATAATAATTATGTTGTACACTCATTAACGGTGTGAGTGACAGTAGTTTTTGGAGGAAGCGCTCTTCCCCTACATGTATGTCACTTTCCTTTTGATGATCTTTTGTGAACAGATCACTCTGATAGTTAAAATATACAGTCTTCTATTGATATCGTTGTCGCCCTTTGCCGTCGGGTTTGTAACAGTTGGATAGCAACCGAATTTCTGTGCCTTCAACGATGTTATGATTGTGGATGAAAAGAAAAAATGATGCGGCAAAAGCAAAAAAATGATGCGGCAATAGCAAAAAAAGTGATGCGGCAATAGCAAAAAAAGGACTGCGGCAATAGAAACCTGTGTAACGGCTCCTGTGCGACTTTGCATGTAACGCCCTGCGTGCGGCAAACATGTGCCAATGTAACGCTTCATGGCCTCACTGCGGCAACATATATTGCCAGTACGGTAGTACGAGTACTAGCGCCTGGACTTGGAAAAAAAATTGATTTTGCAAGTCTTCAAAGTTCAATCATGTTTGCATGTACGCGCTATTATCCAGGCATGTGGCGTGAACAGATTGCCTGACGTGAAAGGTAGCGCAGGCCACGGGTGTTTCGCAGCGGCCACTCGTCAAGATGGCGGCAAATCCGAGAGTACAAATATTTCGACTCTGGCTATGTGCGCGGCGGATGCGAATCTCGCACGTGCATGCAAAATCTAGCCTTCTGGCAGATCTGGGTAGAGCAAGTGTACGTGTGTGGGAACGACGACTTTTTCCGAGAGAGAATGTGGCTCTTTTCATCCCAACATTTTACTCGCCACGCTCTCCCTCCCAGCTTATTGATACGAGTATCTGCTACCGAGTAGAAGTCTCCATCTTCACAGTAGGTCAGGCAAAATCGCAACGTTGAAATACTTTGCTCACTTGGCGTTTTTGGTCCGGTAAAGGTATAGTTTAGGGTCCCAAATTATTTTAGTGGGTCAGCATGCTCTACAGAGTCCCAGGCATGCACATAGTCATTACACATAGGCCTTGGCCACAACTGACATCGATGTGGATGGACAACCACTGGTGTATGCAAAATCACCTTACGATGCGAACGAAGACGGCGCAAAGGACCATGAAAATCGCCTGAGTTTGAAGCTCGGTGACGGTGATGCCGTGCGTGTCTTGAACACCTCCATGGGCAAGGGATGGTGGTGGGTAGAAGTCGATGGCGAGTCTGGCTACGTTCCATCATCATTCCTTGGCACTGAGGATGACCTGCGCGGCGCGGAGGAAGCCTCCTGGCAGAACGACGAATATTCTGACTTCTACCCACCACCTTCCCTTGCCCATGGAGGTGTTCAAGACACGCACGGCATCACCGAGCTTCAAACTCAGGCAATTTTCATGGTCCTTTGCGCCGTCTTCGTTCGCATCGTAAGGTGATTTTGCATACACCAGTGGTTGTCCATCCACATCGTATTCGATGTCAGTTGTGGCCAAGGCCTATGTGTAATGTGCATGCCTGGGACTCTGTAGAGCATGCTGGCCCACTAAAATAATTTGGGACCCTAAACTATACCTTTACCTTTGGTCCTTTGAGATGATGTGGCTGTTGTGTACAACTCGAAGTGACAAACTTGAGACCCCCGCGCCACAAAAAACTAAGGCGCGCCACAAAGTTTCGTTTGGCTATTCAATGAAAGGATGTATGGAAGCAGGGATAAAAACTATCGTGGCTGCCGGCAAAACTCCTGGTAATGTAAGAAACGGGGTGTGACTTTGGTAATTCCAAGGAGAATGTACGCACGGCCATTCCACAACGAAGACGAAACTACGAGCTCAAAAACACTCCGATTTTCAAACAAACGACGCAGGAAAGAAGACATGGCCGCAGTGTTCCCGTGTGGTCTTCAAAACACCTAATTTTACCTCGATAGCGGCTGGTTCAGGGCAAATTCAGGCCCAATTCGACAACGTCGTACCGCTCAGGTTCGCCCAAAACACGAGGAAATGTACGGTAGATCCGAATGCGTACGCATTTTGCGTACGGGGACGACTGGCCAGAGTTCATGCACTGCAAACACCCGTGAGGCGCGCGCGAGTCGTACGCGCTCGCGGACGTGTCTGACACGTGAAACGAAAAGATTTTTTTGGCGGGTAGTCGGCAAAAATTAAGTGACGGTCCCTTTAGTCCTTCGCTTCTTTCTTGACTTGAGTCTTGTGTTGAAGTAACCAGGGAGTCGTAAATATACGACTCCCTGGAAGTAACTTTTAGTTGTGACACATGCGACGCGTACGTAGACGTGTACACAATTTTTACATCGCCGCAGTGACGTAGTTGTACACAACAAACATGACTGTGACGTCGACAAACTTTGTCATGAGACTCAGATCGTTCATGATCAGATCGCTCACATGCATGATTCATCATGAATGATGAATGACAATGTTCATTCAAACTCAAAGACAACACTGTCAACAGAACATTTCCAGTGATCAGTGATTGTTTTCAGAATTCAAAGTTCCAGTTTTGTCTGTATGTGTGTTCAGTAGCGATAAGGGACCGGAAGGCCGTGAAATATACTTTGTCACCCTCGCCACAAGCTCTTCTTTTGTAGTACTTACTAGCATTTGCTGTGGCCGGTAGTGTGAAATTTATCGCCATGGGAGGTGGTCCGCGTGTGGCTGAGAGCGTAGGCATAGCGCCGAAAATGACACTGTCTGTGACGGCTTCGATTGTCGCAGAAACCGGTATGTGAAGAGGTTAAATTTAGTTGATTCTGAGTGCATTTGGGGGGGGGGGGGTTGTACTTCAGCCACTATGTGTCAAAAATGGGGCATGTGAGCTAAAAGTTAAAATTATTCTCATCTTTGCCTTGATACATGTATTCATGTAACGTTTTGGCAAGTGAAACCCGACAGTTGCCATAATGGGCTGCACCGCGAGTGGACTTTGAGGATGCAATGTGCCTCGCATGTCCTGTACGACAAACCTACACCATAAACAACTCGCTACCGGTATGCCACATGCTAAGTACCCACAAGGAGTATGCGCGCTCACTTGCACGCTGTATCTGAGGGCTAGGTGCTGCTCGAATATTACCGTGTTTTCCCGGTTATAAGTAAGGACCTAAAAATTAATGGCAAGAGGGGTAGTCGACTTATAACCGGTAAAATGCGGTACACATTTCTGATGAGTATAAATACCGTACTGCTAGCTGACAATACTGTCACACACTGTGTGTAGTACTACGGTGTATACGCATGGTGTGTGGGAGCTCCACACTGTCTGGTGCAGCTCCCTATGGCACATGTCGGATTTCCCTTGCTACAACTTTAGAATTTACTTCTGTGTGATTGCTCAGCAAGCACACTGTGGCCATAATACAGATGGAAACCTGATAATTTGAATCCCAATTCCCGGGAATTACCGTATTTTCCCGAATATAAGTCGACCTTCTGTGCGCCAGAAATTTCGCCGAAAGCTGGGGGTCGACTTACAAACGGAACTCAACTTACATACGGGAATCTGGCACAACAAATGAAGTGACTGGAGTGTCCGTACAAAAATGCACTATGATATATAATCCAAAACTGGTACTGTGAACCGTGAAATTATTGCGATGGTCTAATTTCTGCGAAATTCGCGACCGCGTGGAAATCGCGAAATTTAGACAGCGCGAAAAGGAGATCCATGGAAAGTGTAGCATGAATGCCACAGTAGCAAATTCTGCAATCGCAAAACTAAAACCTCGCAAACCTGTCCGGATTCCGAAAACGCGTACTAAAAACGCCGCGAAAATCTCACGCTTTACAGTAACTGTTTTCGAACACAGTGTCCTCCTCCTCCTTGTTTCATGCTGTCAATCTAACAATTTAAAAATGCACTACCGTACGAACCATGTGAACTTTCGTCCCGCGAGTGTCAAGTCACTTCCGCGCGCGCGCGCGCGCGCGCGCAGTGCGATGTGTTGCTGTACTGTAGTGATAGCCACGGAGACTCGCAGACTCACATTGAATGAACATTGGATGACACTGGTTTTGTTCAGATTTTGTCTTACTGGCATGATATGATCTCTCCTAGCAGAGAATTCATCATTTTGTATGTGTGGGTGTCATGGAGCTATAAAAACTTTTTTTCATGAAATTGACTCCTGGATTTGGGGTGGTCGACTTATATTCGGGAAAATACGGTATCCGGACAAGTTCGCTTCTCCTAACTAATTGGAGCTCCCGCTTCCTGCCGAATTGAGTGACACTTGACTGACTCACAACTGCCGTCCGCAGCACACACCAAGACATCGAACCTTCCGCTAAGCAAACCTGCAAGAAAGCACCACTCCTTGCTCAAAAGACAATACACAGTGTTTCTGGCAATTCCTCTTTATCAGGTGAGCTTGAGTAGGCTACTGACATTTGTGCTTAGGAGCACTATTTTTGAGCTGTTCAGCAGCTAGAGATACACTAGGGATACAAGCTTACAGCTGTGATCCATTTCCATCATGATAAACACCCTGTGGGCCCCAGGTAGCACAGTTAGTCAATGCTGACAACAGAGTGATGAAAAACGGACGCTGAGAGCGTTTAGCTTTTCACAACTCTGTCGTATCTACTTGAAAGTAGCTGCATATCCACAAGTGGGACAAGAATGTGAACTTCAGACGTAGTGACTTTGTTGGTACTTCAAGTAAGAATGTTGAAAGCGACCAGCGAATGTCTTTCAGCATACGTTTTCACCGCTCCGTAGAGCGACACTGACTCGGATCATGTGTCTACATGTACACACACTGTCTGCATGTACATGTACTGAAGTACGTTCATGTTTGGTTGGCAACAGGTGTGATTTCAACATTTTCCCTTTCAATTTTACGCCCAGCTTCAACATAACGCCGAACCCGCATATACCAAAAAAAAGAAGAAAAAAAGTCTATTCGTTACACTTAATGCCTAGGCTCATATGGCTCTGCTCACTTTTCAGCCGTTGTTGCATGTAGGAAAGTACAGGTATCTCAGTCTCATTGAACATCATTCTCTATGCAGGGGATAGCTATGCTCTATGCAGGGGATAGCTATGCTCTATGCAGGGGATAGCTATGCTCTATGCAGGGGATAGCTATGCTAAATGTGTAGCATAGTGTATAGGGCATACTCTGGCAGCGTTCATTGGCAATAGCCTTCTCTTTGCTCTGTGATGCAATTGTGTGCTGCTGTGCGTGCACAAAGTGACATTTCCGCTGGACTTGACCAAGACTCGGCTGATGATTCAGGGAGAGCGGGGAAAGCTGGCCAAATCGACCAGTGCGGGAGCTCAGCCACCGACAGCGTATCGTGGAATGATGAAAACCGCCATTGGCATTGGTGAGTGTTGGAGCCAGGGCCCAGCTACTGGTACGATGGCACTGCTCCACCAGTGACCGGATGTGTGCCTATGACTATTGAACGTCTAGAATTGGTGTATGCATTTTGATATTTGAATATTGGTGTTTCATGCGTTGGTTCATCGTGTGAAATTACCGCCACCATTCGTACTGGAAACCTTGATTGTGTCAATATCTTGTGCCTATGTGGGGGCTCAGCGGATGGAATTTTTCGCAAATGATTTCAGTAAAAAAAAAAGTAAATTATCGTATCCGTTCCCGAAGGGAACTCACGACGGCCGCTGACGCCCGATAAACCCTAGCGGCAGATGCAGCGCCTAACGTCGGGGGTGAGTGGGTAAGTCTCACAACCACTGGCACAAGTGCCGAAAACGACCCCATTAGCTGCATCCATGTACCCCTTGTGCCTGGCCACACGTTCCCAGTTGACTGTGGGTAGCAGCACGGCTGGAAAAACCGCTCCCAGATTTCAGTAGGTATGTACATGTACATGCATGTATTTTTGTGTATAGGATAGCCGGGTATTGGACAGCCGGGTATTGGATAGCCGGGTATAGGAAAGCCGGGTATTGGATAGCCGGGTATTGGATAGCAGGGTATTGGATAGCCGGGCATTGGATAGCCGGGTATTGGATAACCGGGTATTGGGTAGCCGGGTATTGGATAGCCGGGTGTTGGATAGCCGGGTGTTGGATAGCCGGGTGTTGGATAGCCGGGCATTGGATAGCCGGGTATTGGACAGCCGGGTATTGGATAGCCGGGTATTGGATAGCCGGGTATTGGATAGCCGGGTATTGGATAGCTTTTGAATATGTGATACTTAGTGTGTACTGCTTATGTAGCAATGTTCACTGGGATATGTTCACTGGGATATACTCACTGTGCGGCCAATGTAACAGGTTCTCTCTTCCTCACTGCTAATGATGTGGATCTTGATTAGAGTTTACAACCGTAGCTTTGCAGTGCGGGACTCTGTGAAGGCCCCTTGCCCTCCAGCCACTCACTGTGTAATGCCTGTGCTATGCTGTGTGCAGCCTCAGAAGAAGGAGTACTGAAGCTTTGGCAAGGTGTAACGCCAGCACTGCTGCGCCACTGCGGTACGTTGAGCTGGCAGGGTAATCCAGTGACATCTATCTTTGTTCTTGCCTGTCTGTGACTATCTGCTCAATTTGAATGTCTCAACGATAAAGTGCTGTGGCCTACTCTAGTTTAGAGGGATTGGATCTGTTTATGATCTCGTAACCACTGCCACCACCACCATGGTCTTACGCTGCAATATTGCAGAAAGGATGTGTTTATGCATACGTGTAATTGCTTTGATGTCTACGAACATTATATGCTCCCCATCTGATCTTTCTCTTTCTTTCTGTGTTTGTACTCCACAGTGTACGCCTCCCGTCTTCCATTCTATGAAGTATTTCGTGAGAAGATGTCGAAGCGTGATGCGGGTACTGTGACCCCTGTTTGGTAAGACCAGTAGCCAATCCAGTGCTAGCACTCTATGCTATGTACAATGTAGCAGTTTTCTGCCACTATTGCTGCTGCTGCTAGTGCTGATGTAGCTGTAGCTGCCCGATGCTCCTACTTTCAGGTACTGCTGTTATCAGGAACACGATACACGGGGATGGTATAGCCGTGAATGCACTTGACTAGTGGTACAGTACTTGTACAGTGCTTGTACATTGTGAAGAATGTGGCTGCTTTGAACGCTGGAGCTTACGCTTCCTGCCGATTGACTGACTTGACACTATTATAGACTGGTTCACGGCTTCCATCCCGAGCACACGAGAAGCACGTCGAACCTTCCACTCAGCAAACCTGCAAGAAAACACCACTCTTTGCTCAATACACAGTGTTTCGGGGAATTTACCCCTCATCAGGTGAACTTGAGTAGGCTAATAGAATTTGTACACCGAGAGCACTGCTTTATGTAGTGGTCTCCGAGCCAAACCATCACTAGGGATACCAACTTACGGTGACACATTGTTTCTAGTGTGACAAATACGTTCTGCACACCAAGCAGCAGCGCGGGTCAGTGTCGCACATGGAGTTGTGTCGCAACATCTTATTATGTGCATTGTGCATGTACATGTACAGACTATTTGCATCTCTGAAACCGCTGTTGAACCACGGCAATGTTTGCTTTCTTTCTTTTGGTCGCTGTAAATGCCGTTTGTGCATGCACAGGAAATGCGCCATTGCGGGCATGGCTGCTGGCTGCTTGGCCCAGTTTCTAGCCAGTCCGAATGACCTGGTGAAAGTCCGAATGCAGATGGAGGGGCGCCGGCTGCTGGAAGGCAAAGAGCCAAGGTAGATTCATTACGCAGTCTGGTGTGGTGGGTGCAAGTGTTAGATTCCATTGTGCACATTATCTGTCTAGGATATATAGCGTGTTTTGAACTCAGTTTGAAGTACATGTACTTGCAAGGGGTGCAGCTCCAGTGACATTTCCGAAAAACAAACCTGAGTTTAGCTTGGTGTGCCTTGTCTTAATTAAGCTGCCGGGCCCTCCCAAGATGTGCGGTGCTTGGGTATTTCTGCATAGCAGCGAACCCCAATGCCTTGCCAAGATCCTGGCAAAACACATCACAATCACCTCACCTGTAAACACATCACAATCACCTCACCTGTAGTACCGGTACTACATCTACACTAGTCTTGTTCTTATCTGTATGCAGTGCCCGGTAGCCGGGCCGCTACTAGTGCTGTAACTGAGAGTTACTACTAGGTCTGAAGATAGTGTCGTTGCAGTTGCGAGTTGTTGTTATACCCAAGGTCATTATTCACATGGTCGACTGTACATGTAGCTCCCTTTTTTCTTCATTACTGGCGTTGAGCTTACAAGTAGTTTGGTGTTCTTGTTTCTGACCTGCTGCCTGTAGAGTGCGGGGTGTATGGCATGCATACAGCACCATTGTGAAGCTCGACGGCGTCCGGGGCCTGTGGAAAGGCTGGGTACCCAACGTTCAGCGGGCAGCTCTTGTGAACATGGGCGGTGAGTGTGTGTGTGCTGCGGCCAGTGTGTGTTTGCTGCAGTAAAACCAATGGCCCGCAAACAATGCCCAACTCCTTGGTTATGTCGGCCCAATGACATTCATTTCTTATCAAGTTGTGCCTCAATTCTGGCTTGAACTTGTTGAAGCATTTGGTACATTCTACTCACGTGGTCCATGGCGTCTCTGTCTGTGTTTCATCATAAATGTGTGTGCGTGTCTTTCATGTCTATTGCATGGTTTAGACCTGACGACTTACGACTCAGTCAAGCACCGGCTGCTGGAGAGTACAAGCTTGCAGGACAATGCTGTCACACATGCTATTGCAAGGTATGATTCCGTATGTGTTAGTGTGTTGGTGTGTGGGTGAATGGGTGGGTGGTTGCATGCCTCCGCTGTGTATACATGCACGTGTGCAAACTGCCATTGGTTGCCATTGGTTACCATTGGTTGTTGGAAGTATTGTTTATCTGTACTGACCAGACGGTCTTTGCCGAAGTGATTAGTGCATGGTCAATGTCTTTGCCCAAGTGATTAGTGCATGGTCAATGTCTTTGCCCAAGTGATTAGTGCATGGTCAATGTCTTTGCCCAAGTGATTAGTGCATGGTCAATGTCTTTGGCAAAGTGATTAGTGCATGGTCAATGTCTTTGCCCAAGTGATTAGTGCATAGTCAATGTCTTTGGCAAAGTGATTAGTGCATGGTCAATGTCTTTGCCCAAGTGATTAGTGCATGGTCAATGTCTTTTGCAAAGTGATTAGTGCATGGTCAATGTCTTTGCCCAAGTGATTAGTGCATGGTCAATGTCTTTGCCCAAGTGATTAGTGCATGGTCAATGTCTTTGGCAAAGTGATTCGTGAGACGTGTTCACCGAGACAATTGTATATGGCATGTACATGTTGTGCAGCACTGTCACTATTGCCTCTCCTATTTGTGTCAACATTCTTTTACCCTTCAGCACTCCCTCTCTGATGCCGTGGAAACCCAATGTATCTACTAGCCTTTTTCCCCCGTTTTGTCCTTCTCCTTTTTTACCATAATTAAATTGGCTCACCATCCGAGTTCAACTTTTTTTTCCTGTTGAAGATTTTCACTGTGACATCTAGCTATATCCTATCCAGTCCTGGTCTGTTCTAGCGCAATTTTGCTGGCTATGTGCTAGTGGCGATCTTGTCTATCTTTCCAACCATTTTGGATTTGTGTGTTCCTGCCGGGGTTGTCGCAGCGGTTGCTCTGGTCTGGTCGCGGCCGTTGTCAGCACGCCGGCCGATGTGGTGAAAACACGAATGATGAATCAACCGGTGGTTGATGGCAGGTATGCATGCAATCTCTCATTGTGTTTATTTATTTCTTCCTTTCTGTCATGTCCGTGTGTGTGCTTCTTGCTTCTAACGTTGAAACTGGTTCTTGTGCTTGTCGTTTACTATCACACAGACTTCTTTTATGTTTTAGTGGTTTGGAATGCTGACCAGGAAGTGTCATTTCTATCCACACGCACACACACACACACACACACACACACACACACACACACACACACACACACACACACCTCAGACCTCAGACCTGCCCATCGCGGAAGCGATGATAGCGAACAGCTATGTTAGACATAGCAACTTGTGCTGGGATTACACCATTCAACAGCTTGCAAGGCTGATGAATTGACCGCCACTATTTTTAGCCTGGTATCCACCACACAGCTGATTGAAGTGACTTTTTCTGGCCAGTGAATCCCTATTTTTCACACACATACACACACACATACACACACACACACACACACACACACACACACACACACACACACACACACACACACACGTACACGCACGCACACACACACACACACACACACACACACACACACACACACACACACACTGCTATGTAGTTTTCAGCGTGTACTGTAAATATACAAAATTTCGGCGCTGCAAAATTTCGGCACTTCACGATTTTTGACATTTCGGCGGCGATTTATTTTCGGCGTGGGTAGAGGGCATAGTATAGTGCGACAGATGCTGTGAAAATTTTCATCGGCGTTTTAATTTAGGCGTTTCGGGTCGGTGCCGAATATAGCCGAAATTAAATAGCTGCCGAAAATTTGTATATTTACAGTACAGTATGCTTGGTGCTGGAAGAGTAGTTCATACATGTATGTGATTATTGGCCGGCATGTTGGTAGTAACACCAACTCTGCATGTCCCCGGGCAAGCGGGTGAACTTACTAAGGAAATGTGTGCGTGCGGTGCCTTGTTGATTGTGTGAACTGAACACTAGTTCGGATTGTTTCTTCTCTGTGCCTGTGGTGTGTTGTGCAACAGGGGTACGCTGTATAGTTCTTCTGCGGACTGTCTCTTACAAACAGTACGTATACCGAAATTCTGCATGAAGCGCTTGATTGCATCTACCAGTATGTGTCTGGGCGGCTGTGTATAATTCAAGTGTGACTGGTACAGTGCTGTACGGTATATCAATACACTCACACCGTGTTTGTCCGGCCGGTCCTGAACCAACCAGACACTTCTTTAGCAGTAAATCACATGCAATCTGATGGGGGGAAGATCAGCGATCTGGTGTACATGCATGGCATTATCATTTTCACGAAGGGTGATCAAAATGCTGTACATGTATCGACTGAAACTAACCCAAAGCGAGGCTGCCCGGGTAACTGAGGTATGAGTGTTTGTATCCCTTACAGACCGTGATCGCCTGTTTCAGTGCAAGACCAGTCTGGGTCTTCTGCCGGTGTCTTGCGCTGTGCACTTCTCATTGAGTGGGGTCTGTGCCCTTCCATCTACCAGGACTAATGCCGCTATTGCTTCTGCTGCTGCTGCTGCTGCTTTCATTGTGCAGGTACGTCAGGAAGGCTTCTTTGCACTCTACAAAGGATTTCTACCCATTTGGTATCGCATGGTGAGTATTCAGTACCATGTTCTACACACCTGCTTACATGCCCACGTTGGCATCTTGTTTTTTTACAAACAACTTTGAACCATGGCCATTGGCAATGGCAGTGATAGGCAGGGGACTAGCATCCTCTAGTTGCACAGTATGCTGCAACGTCAACAGTACTCAGAATCAGAGCCCGGACACGTGCACACACACACCATGTACCATGTACCATGTATACGCCCGTCGCACGAGAAGCACGCAAATCTGCAACTGCACTGGATGTGCACCCACAGATTTTCTCTTTATAGCAACGATAGCGGATCTGATTCTGATTGAAGCAGATCAAGACAAGCACCAGATAACTGTCTAATCCACACAACTGGCGGAGCCATGTGAATGCTGTAACCACAGTACTCGGAATCAGAGCCCGGACATGTGCACGCACATGCACACAGACTAGGGGTGAAAGTTGGCATTGAGATCCCGAGTTCGAGTACTCTGATTTTCTCCGATCGAATATTCGAGTATTCGAGTATTCTTCATCTCCTATCAATTGCACACCGAGGGCCTTAAAATCACGTGATAAAAACCCTGCTTGAACCGAGTGGCTGCCATTTTTCTCTGGTATATTGGTTGCTGGGTCATTTGGGCTCTCTCTACTCGTGAACAAATGTTCACCACACAGTCTGCACATCAATATCTGCCGACTGCTGCTCTGAAACTGCAGATTTCTGTGGTAAATGCATGTTCCACGTATGAACGAGTACTCTGATTTATTCCGAGTACGATTATTTCAGAAAAAAACGAGCGAGTACTCGAGTATTCGGTATAATTGTTTCACCCCTAACACAGACACACACACGCGCGCGCACACACACACACACACACACACACACACACACACGCACACACACACACACACACACACACACACACACACACACACACACACACACACACTTACTTGTACTTGTTGCTCAGTGACACAACTGGTCACGTGTGTCTCCCCGGGAGAGGGGAGAAGGACTGAAAAGGAATCTTAGAAAGATTACTCAATTGGCTATTGAACCGCACAACGGCCGACACCCCCTGAAACCCCCAAACTCTGGGTGGACTTGGAAATGATTCCACTTATGGGCTCACCACGCTGCAGTAAGTGGGTGAGGACTAGGTGCAGAAACACACACGCACACACGCACAGTACTTATGAACATGTACTGTGAAATATGAAATCCGCTCCGTCTGTTTCTCATTTTTGTTGAACAGGCACCATGGTCGCTTACGTTTTGGCTGTCATACGAACAGGTTCGCAAGATGTCTGGCGTACCATCATTTTAACATTTGCCTCTCTGACTGCCACCCTGGCCTGACGTGAGAGATTGACCAAAGAGATCACCAGATCACCGGTTTACTTGGACTTCATCAGCATTGTGATGACCTGTCAGCATACATGTAACTGCTACTGGCATTCTTGATGGGTAAGCCCCACGCCCCCTTTACGGCCCTCGGAAATATTCATTTCACCAAACACAGAGGGTGTGCCGATAGTGGTTGGACGCAGGAGGGGGAGGGGGCAGCAGAGTGCGGTACATTGTACAACAGTGGCCCAAGACTATACCAGTGCAACTCTGGCTTTCAAGTTAGTTTCATGCTTATATAGTGCAGTCATCAGGCGACCCGTGTTGTACTGTCAGCTGCACTTCACTTCACATTTTTAGATTATTCAGGTACTGTTTTCTTCTCTTTCTTCAGAGCTTATTTCTGGCGAGAAAGCCTTTTCAGAGAAACTTTTAGAGGAGCGGTGATAGCTAGGTTATAGGCACCGCTCAAATGATATAATCAATGGTGATATCAGTTGATGGTTATTTTTGATCTCGTGTCCGTACCGTGATGATTATTATTACAGTCATAATCGTGTCGATTGTCAATTGTTCAAACTGCCTTCGAACAGTGTACTACAGGCACGGCTTTTCTTCGTGTTTTTCTTTTTCTTCTTTGATATTGTCGTTATCTGAAAAGTTGTAGGAAATCCCTGCGTTGTGAATCACACAACATATCCAGGAACATGAGAATGAAAGCCAAGAGTATGTTGTGTTCGGGAAATGGTCAGGGTTTTGCACACAGCCGCACTTTAATTTGACCTATAATCAAGAGTGCATAAACAAGAGTATGCAACTGTGGTTATGGCCCAGTGCGCGGCGCGCTGCCTTCATTACGTAACTTGCCTTCATCACGCTCTGAAAGCATGCATTCAAACTCACAATTTCTCGTACGAGCCCATCCGTTTTTGCTCGATTCGTTCCAGTACCTACGCGATCTCTGAATTCTGGCGCGTGAACTCCAGTTCCGTACGAAAGTTCATTTCAAACCAGAGGGAAAGTGCGGTGTTTGATTTTCCGCAGTGCGCGGACTGCAGCTGAATGATGTAATGAAGGCAGCGCGCCGCGCATCTGGTCCATAGAAAAGAGGTCACGGTTGCATACTCTTGTTTATGGACTCTTGCTATAATCTAGGGCTGAAACGATTATACCGAATAATTGAGTACTCGTTTGATAACTCTACGATCGAGCAATCGATTACCGATTACGATTATTTTGCGTTTTTAAATTTTTAAATTTCTTATACGCGCAGTCCATGCACAGAGTATAGTACACAGTACTACACACTGCCCACCCCGTTCAAGTCTTACATCATTCTGGGTTTTGTGGAATTTTTTTGTCATACCTGACACATCCTGTTTTTTGGTTAGTTGTTGTCTGTAAAGCGGGATTCACAGAAGCTTGTTTGCGATGCCACACGCGACGCGATCTGCGACGGATGCGTGCGATGCGAACTCGCGAAATACCATTCACAGAAGAAGTCAGCGATGCGACATCTTGCTGATTTGGCTACGTCACCATGATATTCGCGCGGTTTGATACAACTTGTACAAATTTATAGGCAACTCTTGAACCTTTGTACAACTTTGCTGTAGAAAAGGTCAAATCGTACGCCAAATCGCTTGTCGCATCGCATCGCAAAAGTTGAGCCAAGGTCAACTTCTGCGATGGTTTTCCCGGTTTCGCGCCTGTCGCATCGCGTGTCGCATCGCAAAAAAGCTTCTGTGAATCCCGTTAACGCTGCCCAATATTAGTGGACAATCATGCCACATAGCATTTTTGTGCAAAATTTTGTACATATTTCCACTTTTGGCCATTCCGCGTACATATTCCAGGTGCGGCCTCTTAAAGATTATAATCGAATAATCGATCGTTATGAGAAAGAGTAATCGATTGGGCTTACTTAATGGATGATCGTTTCAGCCCTACTATAATCCCTGGCTCTCCGTCCAAGTAATAATTACTACAGTCAGACCTCGCCATCCGGAAGAAAATCATTGGTTACCAATTTACAGCATACGCCATGTACACATACAGTATGCGTGTCCGATTATCCGGTTCCCTCGCCTATCCGGATGCAGTGTGCGGTTATGCGAGGTCTGACTGTAGTAATTAGTTTAAAATATTATGGGTACGAGGTGAATTGCTATTTCTGGACATTGTACATTTCGGGTAAAATAATTTTTCGTCGCGTGTAGAGTCAAGTCAGTCAGGTTGATGAAGTTTTTTTCTTGTTGTAGTTGACAGCTGGGCTGTTGTAATTTCTCCTCGTGTCGGTGCCTTGTTGATAGCCTTTTCTTGGGAGGCATTTCAACGAGTTTTGTGGTACGACTATGTCGCATGAGAATTTTGAGCAAAATAAGAAGTAATGGACGAATCCTTGGCTTCCCCATGTGCACTCCACTTCAGACGCTGTATAGTCTTGGACCTGTTGGCTGGAAGTGTGAAGAGGCCAACTGCAGTCCACCAATAGAAAAAATAACAAAAATGGTGCAGTATACTACTGTATAGGATGCCTATTGATGCTATTTTGCTTTCATGTCCAGAATTCCATACACTGAAATTTAGGCCAAAAAATTGGCCTGTCGAAAACATCCTGCTATAAAGTCTCTGGGATCACAGCATGAGCAATTGTCACATATTTGGAAAGATGAAGGATTAGGCCATACAATAGATACAAAAAGATATGAAAAATGTAAAACACACAGCCAGTGGGCCTCTATTTTATTTTCATGTCCAGAAATTGCTATTCACCTCGTACCGTAGTCATCTCATTCGGCTCAATCCACAACCAAGCACCCAAACATTATGCTCCCCCACAAAGCAGTGTCCGACTCAGCTCAGGCAAACTCAGAGCGGTGTCCCCACAAAGCAGTGTCCGACTCAGCTCAGGCTAACCCAGGAGGAGAGAGACTCCTGACAGCTGTGTCCCCACAAAGAAGTGTCAAACTCCAGGCAAAGCCAAGAGGAGGGACCCTCAATCAGTCAAAGCAGTGTCCGACTCCGACAAAGCCAGTGCAGTAGAGTTGCACGCCAAAGAACATCCAAGTCTGAAGCACTACAAAAAACACCACAGTCTCAAGTTCCTCAAACAAAGCCCCACAAAGCAGTGTCCAACTCAGACAAAGCCAAGGGGAGAGACCCCTCAAAGCGGTGTCCGACCGAGGCATTAGCCTGAGTAACGTTAGAAGACGCAAGCAGTGTCCGACTCGGATAAAGCCAGGAGGAGAGACCCCTCAAAGCGGTGTCTGACCGAGACAATGGCAGTAGCCTGAGTAGAAGACTCAAGCAGTGTCCGACTCAGCCAAAGCCAGGAGGAGAGCACAAGGTATCCTGTACAAACATAACTTGGCGTGCGCCGTAATTTGTGTGGTGTGGGACTGTGTCTGTGCTCCAGTGAGCAAGAAGAGAAACAAAACACTTACATTGATATTCCTGCAAGTGCCAACCCAATATGGTACATGCAGCAACAAGCCACATGAAACAAAAAAAAAAGAACAGATACGTAAACAAAATGAACTAACTGATCTAAGGAAAGAATGGTTTTGATGAGGTGAGCTTCAAAATGGCACAAAACAAATTCTATGCGGTTTTCCGAAAGTAGAATATTAATGTGGGCGTCATGCTAATCCTATCAAATAATTCATGGAAACAGGTAGGAGGTTCAGTGTAAAGGCACAAGGCAATAAATATTCGAATATATAATATTTATGCGCAGTCAGCATCTTAACAGAAACAGCTAAAAACAAACGGGAGGACGCGGGAAAGATTGTTAGGCTATACTATGGACACGAGAATAAGCTGTTAGCTGTCCTCCTACAGCTCAACCAGCAGCTCTTAGAAGCCTCCCTCAGCAATGCACTTTGCAGCTTGCTGAACGAATTCTGTACAATCTGTCGTTCTGCATTATTATATAAATAAACTTGTGCATGTCGCGAAGTTGATCACTACCGAAGAGCATCAACTAGTGTTTGAGCATTGGATTTCAACTCAACACCGACTTCAGGGTCATTTGCAATATCAGTAGCTATCTTCTGCACGCCTCCGTCACGCATGGCTGCTGGCGCAGAATCTATGGAGTAGAACAAAGCAGGGCATGCAAGCAAAACTGATTTAAAAGATTGTTGGGACAAAACCATTCGCATCATTTAGGGATTTTTCAGTATACAGCCAACCACACTTAAAACGAACTCACATAATTAATTTCGGCATAAAGTGAACCATTGTCCCGGTTTCAACACATACAAAATGGACCCTCTGTAGCAACTTATTTTCGTGTACATATCTAACAAACCATGTTTTGTAGGGGAGCATGCAAAACAAGCGTAGTGAAAACTGCCTAAGGCCGACCACTCAAGGGACCTTCACTGGCCACTGTGACACCCATGCAGAAAAAGTCAGAAGCTGCACACTCTGGGTTTCATGAACTCTTGGCAGGAGTCAACTGTATTCTCGAGTGGGAAAAACGATTTAGGGCTTCAAAGGTGTTGACCGTGGTTGAACCACAAGGCATACGGGAGAACAAATTGACTAGGTCTGCAAAGGAAGCACCTTTCCCAACACAGAGAGAAGAGTGAAATAAAAGAACAAGTACTAAATGACACACACAGTTCACATCACAGTCCCAGCAAGAAGTTGAACTAAATTGTATACAAAAGGATTATCCCCCACAGAGGAGATGCGAAAATACAAACATGACAGCGAGCAACTCACCTTTGCAAGCAACAACCAATATATTACACGCCATGATGGCTTCATGAACCATGATGACGTGCTGAGACTCGCCAAGAGCGGCAAGTGACTTTACTACATCAGCCGCCAAAAAAGTACTACCCACAGCTGCAAGACACAAAACAAAAACAGACATAAATTTACATAACATCCACAAGCCATCAAAAGCCCCCCCCCCCCCCCCCCCCATTGCTGCAAATCACAAACAATACGAACACGAACCAACTGGTGATAACCTGCCATAACCTCAAGAGATCTCACTCCTCCCAACCACCAAATAGACACACATACTCACTGTCAGTTCTAGAATTTTTGATCAATGACGCTATAAGACGCTGTGCTTCTGAAGAAACACCAATATCCGGATGGCTTGACAAGTCCACAAGACGAGCTGCAAGCTCAGCTTGAGATCCAAGCGCCGTGGCAACAGATTCTAAGACAACACCAGAACAAAAGGAAACCAACATACTGGTTTTAATTCGTCAACCGAAGTAGCAGGCAGGGAGCAGGCAAGAAAGTAAAATTGGAATGCAAAATGGAAACGGCAACGCAGTGCAAAGGAACATACCTTGTCCGTCAACCATGAGTCGCAGTGCTCCCAGCGATTTCTGCTGCACTGGCTGAGCAACATGGTAGACAAGTGGAACAATTTGGCTCGGCACATCCTTGGAGGCTAGATGCTCTTTGCTGGCAGCTGGAAAGGTTGACAAGAAATAAGTGGTGGGGACCAACACACACAAACAAGATTTAAAGATAAACTACATGGACAGCAAACAAATTCAAAGTACCACGCACATGGTCGGCAGATGGATAAACTGCACAACAGAATACGTTGGATAGCAATTTTCTCTTTTATATTGCAATAGTATTGTACAGCACAAACACAGGCAAAGAGCTTTGGCGAGGTGTTTGTGGACTAAACTAAGGGGCCTATTATATGTGCAACTCCAGCCCGGGCTGGAGCAAGCGGGCCAGCCCGCCGAAAGTGTTTACATGTGCACGGCCGGGCTGGTCGCAGCCCGCAGTGAGTTTATATGCGCTGAGCACAAGCCAGCCAGTTGTGAGTGTGCAACGAACACACTGCGATTGTAGTGTGCTGCCCCGGGCTGAAACGCAGGGCTGCAAGCCATACTCATGTTATAAACCTAAAGACTTTTTTTCTCACACAATGTATTCTTCTGCTCATTTCTTTTCGCGCTATGGCACATGCTTGGTGTGTTGTATCACCTCATTTCTTTTTCCTGTTTTTCACATTTTACTTGTCTATATCGAAGTGTTTCGCAAGTAGTTCCCCTTCAATTGTAAAATACAATCATGCATGTCGACAAATAAACAGTGCTCACAGCACGTCCTTCTTGTTGCTGTACAAAAAGCTTCATAGATTTTCAATACAATATCGGGAATCCTCTTTATAACTTCCCTCAAAAGGTAAAAGTACCTATTTTGTAGTATGAACACAGTGTCAACCTCATAATAATACAACTCTTGCCCGGGCTCGTCTGTTTATATTGTGCTTTTTCTGGCCCCCCTAGCCGGGATCCCGGGTGCCTCGAGGCGGGATCCGGCTTCGCCCGCTTGCCATGTTAACCCTTTATGTACCAGCCATCTAATGTATGTAAGGGGCTATCGCAGCCAAAGAAGCAACCATGGTATGAAATCTAGACAACTTTTGTATATGCAAGTTGTGTTTTCCTGACTCCATAATGTATCACTGCACCCAGGTACGCATGGATATTGGTACAGCATGCAGTAGTATATGAAGGCCATAGGTGGAATACCAAAGATACGCGCCAATTGTGCATATTTCTGACCAAACAGGGTATCACAAACAAATAGACTGAGAATGAGTTTGTGCTCGTGTACTGGGAACATAGGGACAAAACAATCTCATAAGCGTTGTCTCAGTGCATGAAGAGTAACAACATACCAGGGAAATGGTCATATTGTCACACATTTGAGGTAAAACAATTGGTTCAAAATTGCAAATTTTGAATTCTTGTCTCAGATTCGAAATCTATATTTTTCTTCAGCTACTCACATCCAGCGTCAGGTAAGTGAAAGAGAAGACAAGAAGCAGTCGCTGGCTGGTGAATTACGCCTGCCTTGACGATTTTAGGCCATCGCTGCCCTCCCTCTCGCTCCTGTTTTGAGAGTGAATACTGCGATGGGATCAGCGATACAAATTTTCAATTTCGAGTCGCATTCCGCGATATCGCCACAGCCGATCTCTCCAATCGTCCACCACGTCTAGAAGACGTCGACATGACCTAGAACAAGCTACATCTTCGCTACAAGCAGAAAAACTGAGCAAGAACACGATCGAAACAGCGACAATTGTTTGCGCTGAAAAGCATACTTTTGAACGCGTTCGTTCTCCATACTTTCAAATGGCAACCTACCCATATCATACATCAAAATTTTCAGTGGGATCTCAGCTGTCAAGCGCAAAAAACCGCGGCTCGATCGGAGCTACGGCGGCGGGGAACGGCGCGCTTGATTGGAGTGCAGCGAACCGTACCATATGGTACGGTTCGAGATGGGGCTGGTACACAAAGGGTTAACGCACCACAGGTTTTGTGTGGATTTGTGAACAACCCCAAGATCCCGTTGCAGGCGGGCCAGCCCGCCTGTCAACCAGCCCAGGCTGGAGCTGCACATATAATCACCCCCTAAACTGCAAATTGGACAGTAAAATGTACTAACAAATGCGGTGATGTACGCATTACCCGTTTTACATGCAATGAACTGTGCCGACACCCACGGTCGACCGGGTACTCACTATCCAGAGTGAGGGTAACATGGATGCAGCTAACGAGGTTTCGGAGCCCGTCCAGTTACATTCTCACCCTCCCCGCAAGGTACTGCATCTGCCCCTTTTGTACAATCAAGCATGATGGTGATGTGGCACAAGCGAAAACTCCATAAACTGGTTGTGTTTGTAAACACAATTGTAAAGCCTGTGGCAACGTGGATGTGAAAACCTTTTCTTACACAGGCAAAGAAGAGAAGGGAAAGGGATGGGAGTATATAGCACAAGACTCACCAGGCATGGATAGGTTGCGAATCGCACTGAGTGCTCCGTGGAGGACTTCAACATTATCCTACACGAGACACAGCAAAAAGGACTTCAGTCAGGCACGTTATCAACTTCTAACTTACCACATACGTAACTGCAGTACCAAGAGTAGATATGGGTTGTGTACTCTTGGTACCGCTCAAATGCATGACATGGCCATATGGGTGCTCGCAGCCGAAGACTGACATCACTACGCCCTTTACCCTTCCCTTTCTCCTTGGGGAGCATCACTGGAGTAAACCGTGGCACAAAAAGTGATGCAACAAAGAAGACCACACAAGTCAGTGTAAAGGAATACTACCTGCATTTCAGAAAGCCCAGAAATGATGTGCGAATAACATGACAAATCGAAAAAAATGCACAGCATGATAGGCACTGATTTTTGAACTGGCAGTGTTGAGTCTTTGTTCACCTACCTCTTTAGAAGAATATTTTTCCAAAACGGCCAATAGGAGTGCGAGGACTCCCTTTTCCAACAAAACAGAACAATTAGTATCTGCAGCGGAGACACGATGAAGGAAGAGCCAGGATGCAAAACAAGTAATCACACTGTCATTCAAAGCAATATCATACTGCAGCAGAAGTTGGAAAGCTCCACGGACTAGCTTGGCAAAAGCCAAAACAGACCAATGGTCACAACACACACAGGCACATAGGTGCAGCATTAAAATGAAAAGGGATGTTGGATACATTAAGAAAAAACACAAGCAAAACTCACCTGATCGAGCCATGTTGCCGATAGCAAGAGCACCAGACGATAGCACTTTCTCATCAGATGATTTGAGCCAATTGCAAACAACAGGTAAGATAGGTCCATTTCCTTGGCTGAAGAGAATTCTAAGACTTTCATCTATACAGGCACAGCAAAAAGGAGCAGAAGGAAGCAAATTGACGCACCCACTAATCGAAGCAGACCTGCATGTCACTTTCAAAGATGCTGGATATTGCGTACTAGTAATTGACTAAATTAGTCGACCATGTCATTCTGAGGAATCAAGAGTGAAACACCAGTCTTGCTGTCTATGGGGTCTGCAATGGCACAACTTCACATCACGTACACATTATTAGCGCCCTGGGCATGATTTGGGTACAGCTCACTGGTGATCACTTTGCACCGTAACCTATTCAACCATGTCATGCGATTTGAACTCTGCTGTTACAGCACTGGATAGACGTAGAGGACAGTTGCACACTCTTGGGGTGTATGCACTGTTGACAGTACTAGTGAATGCAAACTGACCTCCTGTGAGAAGCATAACAATCAGGTCCATGACCTTCCTCGACACATCTGAGGTAAGCGTCACAGCACCGTCAACATCTAGCTGGAATTGCCGAAGAAGATGTGATACACATCCCTGTGCCGCCAGAGCCAACTGCCACAATTCTGGATAGAACAAAATAAACAAATAAAGCACAAGTCAGGATGCTAGCCACACCTACCAAATCACATGCTAAGTACAGTTGTCCAGTATAGGCAATGCAGTCCAGTATACTGTAATGTCGCGAATAAAAGCAGGTGCTTACGGCCGTATAAGCCGGGGTTCAAACCGTGCTTCTATTCAAAACATGCTTCTACATGTCAACATCTTCAGTCTACACGGTACAGTGTACATTGTCACACATGTAGTGTGCAAGTACATGTGCTTCTATTCAAATCGTGCTTCTGTGTCACGGCACGCTTTGGAAAATCGGCTTCTATACAGGTCCTGCTTTTATACGCGACACTACAGTATGTATGAAATAACTTTAGACTCTGATTTCAAATTCCAAGAAAAACCACAATAAAACACATGAACAATTCAAGTACCCCCCCCCCCCGCCACGTACACAAGAAAGATAGATTCAGAGAAGTGGGAGAGCGCAAGTGGACCTCACCATTCTGTGCTGCAGATGCAAGCGTTTCAATAATCAGCTCCTTCACACTGCTATCTTCAACAGCACCAAGAAGACGGACAATCACCGTGACGGCACCAGCCTCACGAAGAGCATTTGCACCGGGCTCTTGTGCTGTACAAGTTAGAAAGAGTTAATAGCACAGGTAAGCAACACCACCAGAATTCATTTTATTTTATCTCACAGTCAGCTTGGACAGCTTAGACTGGAACAAGGGCAAGTGAAAAAGAGAGAGAGAGAGTAATCACCGAACAGTCATAAATACAAGGATACGTTCAGGACACTCACCAATATAGAGCTCCTTTCGAACAGCCATAAAGAAGACCATTAGCAGTAATGGCACATGTCCACACTATGTGCTTTTTCAATACACAAAATAACTTTACGCTACCACAACCTCTAACAAAGCCAGCAATCCAAGTCAACAGTATCCATTGCCAAATCACACTAACTTACCACCTTCCAAGATTGAGTCCAATGTCATGATAAGCACCCTGCACAGGCCAATATCTGTACTGCCATGATGTCTTATAATCTGAACTATACTGTTTGGGATGTCGGCCTCGATACAAGCTTCCGCAACGGCATCTGCAAGAACAATTGCAGATTGGTGCACAACACAAAGGTTCGAGTCAGAGTCAGCCAGACTGACTTTTCTGCACCCGCAGGAGCACCACCTCCCACAAAGATCACGGTGCACACGCAGCTCCTAAGCACTTTGTGAGAATTATATACAGAGGGACAGGATGAAAAGGAACACAACAGCATGGCACACCACCATACACGCCACAATATTACAATGAGCACATCCCATCAACACTTCGGATCCCAGATCACAAGCACCATTTTATGGCCAGTACATGCCTGAGAGCAGCTAGACCTCGGCTACTCAATGAACAAGTCAGGTTGGAAACAAAGAGACTCGAGCTACTTTTAGCAGAGCATTGTTACTCGAGTTCAGGTGTAACTTACCATAGCCAGTCATCATGTTAAGCACACATCCACACAGGGGTCTGAAGAGCTCCAATCGCTCCTCTTGTACTGTCTCGTCTTTTGCTTCATCTTCCAGTATTCCACCAATGACAACAACACCATCAGCTCTTAACAATGCTTCCCTTCCTTCATCTGGAGACACAGTAGAAAGCATATAGAAATCAAAGAAAAGGACTGAGCACGCAACATATTTCACCACAACACTGTTGACATATCGAATGTAGCGTACTAAAGCCGGGCTATATTTCTGTAGAAGCCAGCATCAGAGCTAGGCTTCTATACGAACCAGATGTTTCCATACATACCCACACTAAAACACGGCTTGTATTCAAACCAGGCTTCTATATGAGACCGACAAGACATTACAGCATACGTGTATGGATAAAATAAACCACTAATGGTGCACCTAGTGTGGGGGAAATGTACAGATGCCAAAGGGATGGAGCTCATCTACAGCAGAACAGTGGGCAAAACGGTATAATAATGTTGCTCCGAGCTTCACGCATATACACTCAACCTCCCCTTATCTAACCTATTGCGCCATCCAGTCTTTGGGCCAAGTGGCATGCTGTATAGGACTGTACTGTCTGTTGTTCCACAGAGTTACGGATTGGGTCCAGTCGGGTGTAGGCCAGGCAAGGGCAGTTTAAGCAACCGCCGCACAACAGGGGGGGGGGGGGAGAGAGAGAGAGAGAGAGAGAGAGAGAGAGAGAGAGAGAGAGAGAGAGAGAGAGAGAGAGAGAGAGAGAGAGAGAGAGACTACACAAGACCCATCAGTACTTACCATTGTCAAAGCAAATATTTCCCAATGCTCGCAGCGACTGTTTAACTTTTTCTTTGTCATCAGATCGCAATACGTCAACCAAAAGAGGAACAAGACCTGCATGAACAGCTGGGGACCTTGCAGTCTCTGCACAACAAACAACCACAAAAAAAGGGAGAAAGTACTGAGTGACATAGTGTGAACAGTTTAATAGGAAAATCTGCTAAAATATGGAGAAGCGTTCTTTTGTCATCACAATAAATTGGAATATCCTCCAAAGCCCTCAACTCGCCGACAGTGGAAGAAACGTGCATGTTTCTGGCGTTTACGGGTCTACACATTCACAATGCTCGCACTTTCACCAAGAGTACATAAACCGGTAATTTTACAATAAGGACGTTTAGCAACGCGAAAATTCGAAAGAAAATTCGAGTCTGGGAATGAGTACAGGAAAAAAGCTCGAAACTTCGAAAACTTGGACGCGAAGTTGCAGTGATTTGCGAAAGTAACTTTCTCTTTTCTCGGTACGCATTTGACTACAGGGAGTAGTAATTTTACAGCCCCCTGCTTGAGACTGACCTGCATATACGGTACGGTACTATAAGATTCAAACTTCGAGAAAAAGTCATTTCGCATTGCTAAACCTCACAAGTTTTCTTTTTCGAAATAGATTTTCGCGAAATATCACCCTCACCAAAAGTTCGAATTTTCGCATCGCTAAACGTCCTTATTATTACCAAGGTAATTTTCTGCTACGCATTGCTGCTCGAACAAAAGGCTGTCCCCGGGGAAAATCGCGATTCCGCCGCTGCGTCCCCCCCCCCCCCCGCGTTTTTGCGATTTCTAAATGACCGCGTTTTCCGCGACTTTCCCGCGTTTTTTGAACTTTTTTGTTGCACTACACGTACACACAGTGCACTGTTCGGTCAGCAACGTCTCATAGTGGCGGCTATGTACTCAAATATGACGAGTGCTTACACCAGAGACTTGTAACTGATTGATTTCACTACATACTCACTGAAAAATGCCTCATATCAACTGCAAACTTGCGGTATTCACCGCATATTTACCGCAAATTATGCCGCGTTTTTCCCGCGATTTTCCCCGGGGACAGAAAAGGTGAAAACGCAAGCGAATTTCCCGTCATCACAGTGATGCGGTGACTTAGTACTGAACCTACGGGATAACGGGTTTTCCATGATTCACGATTGGGTCCGGTTTTGTACAGCATAGATGAGGAACTGCACGCTCTGGTCTACGTACCCTTGCTTTCACTCTTCCCCTTTCCCGAGAGCCAACAAAACAATAATATTAATAAGAGCACACCCCCAAATAATTCAACGCAGAAGCATTGAAGGGAACACCTGGCCAGTGCCGTCTCATTTATAAGCTCAAAATACATCAGACTGTTCACTATACTAGCACATCAAATCTACAGTGCTGCTCAATGAAATCCAGTAGCGCCGCTCAAGTTTGCGCCTTGCCCCGTTTCGCAGGTCTAGGGCTGCGGAACGCCCGGCGCATACTGAGTGACGCGACCGGATTTCATTGAGCAGCACTGTACTTCAGTAGGAGCATTGGGAAGCATCATCTTACCAGTTCTGGCGAGTGTTGCAACCAAATCAGCAATCTTTGACTGGCAGGCGGGAACAGCATTCACCAGAGCAGCAAGGGCGGGCATTATGCCACAATTTATTAAATCAGCACCAACAGCATCTGGATGCAGACACAAGAAAACAGAATTGAGGCAATGAACATTGATGTACACCGATCTGATACATGCTATGTTCACATGGGTCTCGAAACAATACCACTGCATTTCCCAATTGCGGTATTTTATCGTTTTTTTCTCTTCTTTTTGGCACAAGATATAAAGTATTTTCAGCAAAAAATGCATGGGGAAAGGCGTGGATGTGTGGTTGTTGAGGTTCTAAACGTTTCTACGTCATTCTGCAAAGCGTCAATGTTGGAGTCTGCTACGGAAAACATTGTACTGTAAACCAGGAAAGAATATCCAAGCACATTAGAGAGGTTCTGCAAAACGAAAATGTGTACGAACTTTCGCTCCACGTCATGAAGTGAGAAACTTCGCACGAACTTTCGCAACTTTGGACGCGAAACTTGCAGGGAACGCGAAATGAACTTTCGTAGGAAGTTTCGTGAGATTGGGTCATGTTGTACGTGCACTTGGCGCGTGCAAACTACGAAAATGTGCAGAACACAAAGTTCGTGCGAAAATTCGTACACATTTTCGCAAGGCCTGTCGCGAAACTTCGTTCGAATTTTCGTTGTGCAGAACCTCTCTATTGTCGAAACTTTTTGATGACGAAATAGCTTTCGCTTCATGAAGAGTTGAAAAATGTGAGTGCACTATGTGCGATGGCGGATGCGGAAAACTCGGCTTTCAGCCGAGTCTCACGCGAACCGTGAATTTTTTTTTAATATTATTATTTATGTGCGATATACCTTGGTATGCAACGCTGGAAAGATTCAGAGAATCAAGTGTTTAATTTTAACATGAAACAAGTCATTAAAGCGGTGCTGAGTTAAGGCCACACGTTTTTATTTCTATGTTTCTCGTCCCCTGAAAATCTAAAAACGTATGCGAGAGGTGGAAAAAATAAAAAATGACCACAAAATAAAAAAAGGGTTACTACAGTCCATTTCAAAACTATAGACGCGTACCTAGGCAAAAACCGTTATGCCAGCATCTATACCACATAAAATCTGTGATCACTTTGTGCATAATTTTTTCCAAATTGGGCGTCTGTTATCCAATCGTTTAGAAACTATATGAGAGCAATTGTGGAGCGGACCTGAGCAATATTCCGAAAACTATTCTCAAAAAGTTCCAGCCAAATTTTAAATATTTCAAAAACCCTACGCGTCTATAGTTTTGAAATGGACTGTAGACCTTTGTCCACACTAAAATCCACCAATACACCATGCAAAATAGCATCCATAGTTAGCGACTAGTATGTGGTAGGCCATAGGAGCTTCTATCACAATCTGTGCATGTGCAGCTAGATTGCACACAAAAAATGCCGACCTCGCATCATGTGTCGCGCAGGCCAGGCCACATTATGTACATGTGCATGAGTGTGCTGGTCTCCACATGCACAGTCAGTGCAGCACAGTTTTTTTCTTCTTCCAGACTCCTGAATCGTATGCGTGCGGGTGACGAGAAACATAGAAATAAAAACGTGTGGCCTAAATACCCGTTAAAGGGGAAGTTAAGGCTAAAATCAAAATTTCACCAGTTGTAGTCTTCGGGGTGCTGAGTCGAATGATCTTGGTCCGAGGAAGCCGAGACGCTCCCTTCCTACTTTAATCCCAATCGAACTCGCGCACTTCCACCGAAACTGGGTGACTGCGCCCTACTACTACTAGATGGGGATTTGTATGCAAAATTTCACTAAAATGGTTGAACAAGCGGTCACGTGCTCCTGCGTACATCAGTCACCTGGTCACCGTGCCAGCCTAGCGCCTGCAGGGTACAACTTACAGCCTGTTTTGACCCCTTTTGGGTGCACTCCTGTCACTCGAGTTCAACTCGAGTTGAACCTTGGTGTGAAAGTTGTCGGTTACTGGCGCGGTGACCAGGTAACTTGGGCACGCAGGAGCACGTGACCGCTTGTTCAACCATGTTCGATTGGGAATAAAGGAGGAACGCTGCATCGCAGCTTTCTCGGACCAAAACCAGTCGACTCAGCGTCCAAAAGACTACAACATGTGGGCAAATCGCGGTCATCCGTGCTTTTATAAGAACGAAATGGCGCTTTTAGTGACATTTTGCATACAAATCCCCAGCTAGTACGGCGCAGTCACCCAGTTTCGGTGGAAGTGTGCGAGTTCAATTGGGATTAAAGTAGGAAGGGAGCGTCTCAGCTTCCGCGGTCCAAGACAATTCGACTCGGCACCCCAAAGACTACAACTGGTGAAATTTTGATTTTAGCCTTAACTTCCCCTTTAAGATGTCGCAGATTGAAATGGTTTGCTAGTACACATGTCAGGGGCGGTTTGATTTGTTCGGCACTAAGATCGCACTGCCCCAATTAGGAAGCAATCTACCAAAAAAAGAAAAAATTATGACGCTACAAGTAGAACTCATGGACTCAGATGGAGAGCCAAGGATAAATTTATAGTAAAGAAATAAAGGCTAGAACATCCGAGACTTTAACCCTTTGAGGCCCATAGTACGGATAGATCCGTACCAGTGTACAGTGCACACTACGTAGTGACGCACATAAAGGCACATGCGCTTATGAGTGAGTTTTTGCGTTGTTTGCTATTTTTTGCAGGTTGTTTTGTCTCACGCATAGGCACATGCGCTTCAGTTGCTAGTGTACCGGTACCTTGCATAATTATGCACATACTGCAATACCGTAATGCACATTGAACTCTGTGAACGTGGTGTTTTGGTGGTGTCTGTGTGCCGCGGGATGGACTGCGTTTAGGTTCACTTATAAGCATATGCGCTTATTTGTGAAGGTGCGCTTATGCCCGGGTATAGGCACATGTGCTTATATGCGCGTCATTACGGTAATGGAGTTAATACGGTATTTATTTCCACGTGAACTCGTATCAAATTCAGACAAATCTAGTCAACCCAATTGTCATTTCACGGCAAAAGAACAGCAAAAGCTCAGATCAGAGCTGAATTTTCGTAGTGCTTCGCTTATAAGTGAGAGTGAGCTTATATCCGAATACATAATGTGTTGTGGGTACATGTTTGGATAATTAGAAGTTTTTCCCTGGCATTTTGGTGTTCGAATTGTCAGGATTCCACCTGTAACTAATTATGTCTTGGCGTGGGACAAGTCAGGGTCAATAAGACGTACACATTTATCTCATCAACGCAGTCTACGTGCTACTAGTTCTCCAAAATGCCCAAGATGAACAACACCGACACAGTTATGACCAAATAAGGGAGCATGAGTATTACCTGAAAACAGGATAATCTACTTTTCTTGATGGTCAGAGACCACTCGGAGAGGGTTGTGAGGATGTATGGTTATAGATAAGGAAGGGCTAACAGAAATGGGAAGGAAATACAACTCATAATGGCGAATACGATTCTCTTGGCGGATTTCACGCCGAAGACAGGGCAGCAGGCAAAGCGTCCGAGAAACAATTTGTGATACCTGGTGCCACACTAATAAACAACGAATGCCCCAACAATTGTTGATTCCAGAGCTTTTTATCAATAGCTCGTTGAATCCAATCTGCCATACTGGTTCACGATTCAGATCCGTGATCGTTAGTGTCAACAAAACTTCTGTTGAAACAGGCCCTAAACTTGACGTGACCGTACAAGTGTCACTCATTCTGCAATATTCTCCCTGTGGGTGTCACAAGTTCTTGGTCATTTCGCACCATAAAACCTTCAAATCTCCTCCTCATGACTTGTATACAACATCCCAGCTGCCGCATAAGAACCCACTTTTAAAACAAGGTTGTCAGTGGTTCCGGATAACAGCTCCATAGCAGATCAGTGACTTACTATTGCTGTCACATTCTGAAAGGATTTTCACCAAAGCATCCTGGACTTTCTCCTCGTTTCCACTGTCAATACTCTCCAATGCAGAGCTCAAACTGCTTAGACCAGCCATTGCCCTAAAGCTGCATTACAGTGCTAACAGGTTCACTACACCTCAACAGAGGTTTGTCTCTCCTATTGCCTGCCCCTCCTCGTCCAAGTAGCCGGAGTAAAAATTGCTGTCCGCACTGATCAGTTCAGGCAGGAGCAGAAGCTCAGGCGACCGTCGACGTCCCCGACTTGGCCATCCTCACCACTCACGCGCATGCGTTGTACCCCATGTGACCATGGTAACTGTGTACATAATACATGGCCTGGGCCGGGGTCCACTCAAAAGTCACACATCGTCTACATCATGCATGGTCTACCTTGGTCTACGTCAGTGCAGTAGATCTACGTGGGAAGCTCACACACAGCTCAGTGCCACTTGACTCGAAAGTGCAGAATCACACAGAAGCTGTGTGGGGCCACTGTCGAGTACTGTGGCTTCTCATCAAAACATCCACTGCCACGGTTATCAGGTTATTTACATGCCTGGGCTGCATCGCATGCAGTCAGATCAGTGCATTCACTGCATACCGCGTACCGCGTAGAGGGTTCGTAGACCGTGCACATAATAATTTTGTGCGTCATGATCCTTGAGATAGAGCAGTTTTTTTGGCTCAGTTTTCTTGTCGCTTTGTGAATCTGGAATAGAACCCCTGCAATTCGCAAGCGGAGGCTGTTCTATTTTGTTTGTAGTGAAGAAGGGGTTCGTCCCATTTACTTACCTAGTCGAGTTTTCTACTCAATCTCCTATATTGACAAGTACATAGCTTTCGAAATGTCTGCTCAGGCTCAGGGTGGTAGCGATCGGTAAGTAAATAACATGTTGCTTTGCAATTTTGCTTTGACATGATGTAGATTATTCTTGAATTTGCATTCTCCATAATCATGATTATGCGTGTAACAGGGCAGCAGCAAGCGCTTCAGATTGGAAGAAGGAGTTAGCTCTGCCAGCCAAAGACAACAGAATACGAACCACAGTAAGGTGTTGGTTTGCTGTTCGCTATGCGTAATTTATAAATGAGCGATATTCTAACAACATTATTCACATTCTTATTCCTTGTGTTTCATTGTTAGGATGTTACTCAGACGAAAGGCAATGAGTTTGAAGATTATCACTTGAAGAGAGATCTTTTGATGGGCATATACGAGTACGGATATGAGAACCCTTCCCCTATTCAAGAAGAGAGTATACCTGTGGCGTTATCTGGTCGCGATATACTTGCCAGAGCGAAAAATGGAACTGGAAAGACCGCCGCCTATTTAATTCCTGTGCTGGAGAAAGTGAACACTGAAATTGATCACATTCAAGGTATGTACTTCAGTATTTATGTTGCCGTGCTTATGATTATCACCAAGAGCACATAAACCAGAGTGTGCAACTCCGCATCGATGCTGCATAGAACCACTACTGCGGCGTTATTTATTTAGGTCATATTATGTATCATAGCAAGAGTATAAGTTCCCAAGAGTGTGCAACTCCTGATACCCATTTTATGGGGTTCGCCAACGGCGAAAACTCACATCACGTGGTTTAGTGTCCCAGCCCGTTTTTAGCGAGCAGCGGAGTAATAAAAAGCGCTCTCACAGAAACTCACTGCGCATATGCAACCCCCCCCAGCATGATCATGGCTAGGCTTCCGCGGAATGTGCCGGCATAATTTCGGGAATTATCGGTGTGATTTTTAAAATGGGAGTTATTGGCAATTTTTGTGGAATAATCGGTAAATTTTGAGCATGCCTCCCCCCCCCCCCCCCCCCCCTTCTATTTTTCCATTTACATGACAATGTATAACACCCTGATTTGTACCAAAAAGCTTGTGATCCTGCAGTTTATCACCCTGTATTTCAAAAAAAGAAAGAAAAAAGCTTCCAGCCGAGTCCCGCGCGAATCGTGATTTTTCAGGAATTATCGCTGTGATTTTTAAAATGAGAATTGTTGGCAATTTTTGTGGAGTAATCGGTAAATTTGGAGCAATGCCCCCCCCCCCCCCTCTTCTATTTTCCATTTACATGTATAACACCCTGATTTGTACCAAAAAGCTTGTGATCCTGCCATTTATCGCCCTGTAGCTGTATTTCAAAAAAAAAAAAAAAAGAAAGCTTCCAGCCGAGTCTCACGCGAATCGTGATTTTTTGCCCGCACAAGTGGCAACAATACCGGTACGCGATACGGTATCTGCAAAAAAAGGAAGAAAAAACGCATGATTGTGAGAATTATTGGTGAACTTTAATACGGGAATAATCGGTCGAAATTTTGAACAATGCTAAGGAATTATTGGTAAAAATACGAGCATATTCCGCGGAAGCCTAATCATGGCAGAAATTCGGATTGCGCGCACGCTATCCTTCGCTTGTACGTAGTACGAAACGTACCTGGGACACTTGATGTGAGTTTTCGCCGTGGGAGACCCATATGCAGAGTTGCACACTCTTCGGGACTTATATACTCGTGATCATAGGAGAACCCGTCATACCGTAGCTTCAGTGCCAAGTCACCGTAGCGCTACAGTGTTAACAGAAAACTCGTGTGCTTTTCCCCATTGTGTGAAAAGCGGCAATCTGCAATAAAATTACCTTGGTGTCACGGTAAAAACGACAGTGTGAACTAGGATGAGATGCAACAAAGGTGAGTCACTATGGCCTAAACAACGCTTGGGGCGAGTTGCACACTCTGGTTCGTGTACTCTTATTATCCTGTTGGTTTTTCTTCCACATGTGCTTTGTAGTGGAGAATTTATAAAAGGATAGGCTTCATAATCATCACAAAACTGCATTAAGCCTACAGTGCTGCTCAATGAAATTCGGTCAAGCGAGTCAATGCCCCACCAGGCGCTGTGCAGCCCCAGACTTGTGAACACTGGGGTGTGCACTGCCTCACGGCATGTTCGAATTGTCCTCACCACCTTTTCGAAAAAATATCTTAGAAGAGATAATAGTTGATGTATCCCAATAGAACGGTTGCTTTCAGCGCCACTACTTCCTTTGAAATTGTCATAGCAATGAGATTTTCCAAGCATGCCTCCCACGTGAAAACGGGCTTCCCTTTCCGTATGTGCAGGTTTTGTCGTAGGTTCCACTGGAAATACATACCAAAGGCAGTTTCGCGGGAATATTCGAAGCTCTTCTAAGCTAATCCAACCCTCCCATCAGCTGAGGTTGTGGAGTTTAGGGGAGACTTTTTTGAAGAGGCCAATAAGCCAACTCTTCAGAAAAACGTAACTCCTCGAATAATCAAAAAGTGACACTTGAACGCCCCTTAAGGTGGCTGGGGCGGTACAACTTTTTAGGGGTCTTTTTGATTACATTTTGACTGCATTTTTGAGTTTATCGGCAAGGTGGGGATGACTTCCTAGAGAAGGCTATTCTCCAGAGATTCACCAGAAAACATTTTCAAATTTCATCTCTGTCTTGCCGATAAACTCAAAAATGCAGTCAAAAAGTTGTACCGCCCCAGCCACCTTAACTCACGCGATTGGATTTCTTTGAGCAGCACTTTGCATTGTACAGTAGAACTCACGAAGTTCGCGACTGCTAGCAATAATACACAACAGGCATTTTTTTGTCGCGAGTGTTGTACATGTATGTCGCCCGTCGCGTCGCAGAAAGTAACATTGTGAATGGGCCTTTAGAAGTTTAGACATTTGACCAAGTGTTTCTTAACTGAACTGGGACCCACGGTTAATTGGGTTTCTCGCTCTTCGGCCACTCTGTGGTGGTTCTACTCGCCTCACGCTGCTCATGAGCTGCATCTACGCCTTGATCTAGGGGGTTGGTTGTGGTCTTGCGGATGCGAAAAGTCAGTATGACTGACTGATTCTGATGCGAGCCGTGATATATTATTCGAATGCAAGCTTGAACGTATGAAATGTCTGTGTATTGTTTAAAAATGTTTCATGGTTTTGCCTGCGCAGGTGACTCTTTTCTGTTAGTAACAGTCTCTCTCTCTCTCTCTCGCTCGCTCTCTCTCTCGCTCTGCAGCACTGGTTCTTGTTCCCACTCGTGAATTGGCTTTGCAAACCTCCCAGATCTGTAAATCGCTGTCCAAGCGCATGGGAGCTGAGGTGATGGTAACTACGGGTGGTACGCCGTTGCGAGATGACATCGTGCGTCTTCAGCAGCCTGTTCATGTAATAGTTGCAACCATTGGTCGTCTTCTGGATGTCGTTGAAAAGGATGTGGCTGACATATCAAAGTGCAAAATGATGGTCTTGGACGAGGCTGACAAGATGCTGTCATCGTTTTTCCGCGATGGACTGGACAAGCTACTAGCACGTATGCCCAAGGAGCGCCAGCTACTTGCCTTCTCTGCAACTTTTCCCCACTCTGTAGTGAACTTCAAAGATAAGTACCTACAGAACCCGCACGTTATCAACTTGATGGATGAGCTGACGCTGAAAGGTATCACACAGTTCTATGCTTATGTGGAGGAGCGGCAGAAGGTGCATTGCCTCAACACACTCTTCAGCAAGCTGCAGATCAACCAGAGCATCATCTTCTGCAACACAACACAGCGCGTCGAGCTTCTTGCTAAGAAAATAACAGAGCTCGGCTACTCGTGTTTCTACATCCATGCTAAGATGCAACAAGGCCACCGTAATCGTGTGTTCCACGACTTCCGAACTGGGCAGTGCCGCAACTTGGTCTGCTCCGATCTCTTCACCCGCGGCATTGACATTCAAGCTGTGAATGTCGTCGTCAACTTTGACTTTCCACGGACGTCCGAGACCTACCTGCATCGCATCGGCCGAGCTGGTCGGTTTGGTCATCTTGGTGTCGCCATCAACCTTGTAACCCACAACGATCGCTTCAACCTCTACACAGTTGAGAAGGAGCTAGGCGCAAAGGTCGAACCAATACCAAGCACTATCGACAAGCGCCTGTATGTCGCCGAGTTCCAGCAGGCCGAACCCGAAGCGGACGAAAGCTGAACAGCACAATTTCTGCGTACGTGTGTGTTGAGCGCTTGAGACATGACACTGTACCTTGACATTCTGTTGTACGTAAGTCAATCATTGTAAAGAATTCCACCCAGGACTGGGCCGGACTGGGTGTGCAACACTAACGGCGGCATGTGCAGCTTTTCTACTGTAGTATTTTTTTGCTTTTATGGTTACTAGTTGTTGTCATAGTCCATTGTCGTTTAGGTGCATATACAAGGGAAGAAATTGTTCCATGTCATATGTAGTTTCATTCATCTAACATGTAAATGAATTGTCCCGGGCCTGTACAATTCCTCCGTTGCCCTGTTTGGGTGCTTGCGCCCCTCGCCTGTAAATTATCATCCACTGACTCTTGCAGTACAGTAGTACTGTTATCATGAAATTGCATAACACAACTAACATTTTGGTGTGGCTTTGACATGCCTGGGCAATACGCGCTGACTGTTCTTGTTTCTCTAGTTGCTTTTCATGCTAGTCTTGTCTACACATTCTGATTGCCTATTGCTGCTGCAGCTACAGCTATCGTCACATGTGCTCTTGCCACTGTACGGTGTTTTATTGTCCAGCGTTCTGCTGTATCGTCGCTGTCTGTTTCTGTTACATTTGTTGTCGTTGTCGTCGTCTTTTATCTCTTGTGCCAGCATCAATTTGACATTGGTACAACAGTGCATCGTTGCTATTTTCAATTCTGCACCTGCTTCAGCTACGGATGTGCTTTTCGTTTTCTCTCTGATATGCAATGTCACCTCACTGGCTGTTATCGAACTCTCTTTTTTCTCATGCTCAGCCGTAGGACTGTCTCTTATGCTTAGTTCTCTCTTCAATAACCTGTCCCCATTTATTATTAGACTGTCGCCGACATGCATGTAGCTGTTCTTTCTTTTGTTTTGTTATCCCAGCTGCCAGTGTCTGGCTGATTTTGACACAAGTGTGTGTGTGTGTGTGTGTGTGTGTGTGTGTGTGTGTGTGTGTGTGTGTGTGTGTGTGGGTCTGTGTGTGCTGTCAAGCGAATCATGCATGCTATGAAAAATCCTCTCTTTTTTGAATTTTCTTGTTCTTTGGTCGGCTTCAGATTTCTACTGGTTTTTGTTCTCTTTTTTTTTTGAATTTTGTGTGAGTAGGAATAGACATTTACTTCTATTTTTGTTGCTATTTCTAATGCCCCGCGGCAGGTGATCATATGTAGTATGTTTTTGTCTCTTTTACATGTTTGTCTGGTCCTTGCAGTCGACTGGGAGGTAGTGCTTGTGTGTGTTGTGTGGTCGTGAGTTCTGCTGTACAGTGCAGTATCCATGGACCCGGTCGGGAGTGGCCTCCTGCATGGATGATGGCTTGTAATGAACAGTCCGCATTTAGCCTTGTGTGTACAGCTGCATATGCATGTCATTATGTACTCTTGATGTCAATGATATTGACTATTGTGTTTTCCTCCCTCGCTATGTCTCTATCTCTACCTCTCTTGCTCGAACAGCTGCTGTTTGGGAACTGTCAACCCAAATAAAATGCAGCCACATTTGACAGATCTATGGTACTAGTAGATAAGTTAGTACAATGTGAAACGAGGAGTTGTATAACCTCCCTACAGTGCATTTCAAAACTATAGACGCGTAGGGTTTTTGAAATATTTCAAATTTGGCTGGAACTTTTTGAGAATAGTTTTCGGAATATTGCTCAGGATCGCTCCACAATTACTCTCATAATTTATTATAGTTTCTAAAGGATTGGATAACAAACGCCCAATTTGGAAAAAATTATGCACAAAGTGATCACAGATTTTATGTGGTATAGATGCTGGCATAACGGTTTTTGCCTAGGTACGCGTCTATAGTTTTGAAATGGACTGTAGTGTAGGCTAAGCTTTATAGCTTTTAGCGTTACCAGTCCTGGAGATGTCCTAGATAGGACATCACCAAGAGTACATGAAAACCAGAGTGTGCAGCTCGGATGGGTTGCTGTCACGGCGAAATTCCGTGATTACATCATTTTAGTGATGTAGTGCGTACAAGCAGGATTCAAGCAGGTCTCTTTCTGCACAACTGCAGCTCAGTTGTACGCACTACGCCATTTCCCGCCTCAGATCTGGGCCAAATATGATGTAATCACGGAATTTCGCCGTGACAGACACCCATAGCAGAAAAGGCCCCAAGCTGCACACTCTGGTTTTCATGTACTCTTGACATCACGGAACCCAGCATGCCCCAGCATACATACTATGCTGTTCCCATGGTAATCGTGACACGTGACTCAAAACTTTGTGTCGCGGCCGAGGAAGATGAACATGTCGCACTCAAAACAAGCGCAACGAAGGCCTTTCGTCTCAAAAGCAATTAGTTGTCGTTCTCCTGGCGGCTTGCCTCAAGTGAGTCGAGATTCGTATCTTGCCTCTTGCCTTCACGAATTTTATTTTCCTCGTTGTGGAGTACGACGCCTGGAGAAAGGAACTGGCAAGCGAATCGTTTTGGTCGCATTGAAAATAATAATTGCAAGTGCACAAGAGGATTGGCGAAGCAATTTGTGTTCGCACTTTCAGCAGAGCAGTAGCTGCTGCTGCGATAAAGTTTTTACTTTCGCCATTGGTTTCAGGCAGCAGAAGGATCTGGCTGAAAGCGATGGCGATACGTCCATGACCACCACGTCCTGGGTTGATATCCAAGAAAGACCGTCCAAGGTCCAGTTTTAGCCAAGAGCTGTCGTACACAAGAAATCAAAAACGCCAACAGCAAGCTTTGGCCAAATAATATCTTCCAGGTACTAGTGATTTACGCGCCTAGCGCCTGCTGCCTCGTCTTCCTCCTCTGCATGGCCAGGTTTGGGGCGAAATGAACGCACGGGGCGTGAAGAAACATTCCAAAGGCAAAACATTCAAATAATTAGAACCAATCGTTTCCAAAGAAGCGCCGCGTGGCTACGAGAAACCCCACATGAAATCCCCAAACGAAAACGGCCATTCGGTCGGGTGTTCGATGGCGAATCGAATATACACTACCTCAATCCCCGCCGATGTCTGATATTCTCCGCCTATTCGGAGTATTCCTTCAAACTTGACCAATTCGGAAAGAAATCCATCGCCATTACGATCGTGCATCCTCCACATACATTCAGAAATGCTCACGCAGCACTTCTTTTCATCGCGTGTGCGCGACCGGCGCTTCCATGACAACTCTGGGACAAGTAACCAATCAGACTCATTCAGAGTGCGATGTCCTAGTACTAGAATAGGACATCTCCCCGACTGGTTACGATGTGAAGAAACCTGGACGTGCATAGCCATGAATTTGTACACAACTCTGTATAGTACTCTGGCTGCATACGTTTTGTCCATACTTTCCAGAGAGTCTAGTAGACCACTTCACCAGAAAGAATTTTGCAAAGAGAAATGTAAACGGTAGATGGAAGCGTCCAAAAGTACATAACGGTATCCGCTTCGGAAGATCATCAATACAAAGTCCGTATACCGGTATCTCACCGACACACGCACAACATTTTTACAGTAGTGAGTACATGTATACAGTAATCTATGTACGATTAGTAACTTGAATTGTTTGCAGGCAACCTGCCTACACTCAAGAGAGCACTGCATTTCACACAAATCCATTGGTATCGTTACAACGTTTCGGTCTTTATGACCATCATCAGGAATGAAGTGGACATGGAAAGAACAGCAGTATAAAAGAAGGAGGCAAGCAAGCAAAGCGCGGTACATAGTGACAGCGCGCGTAGAGAAGTGCAAAGCACGTCATGGCGGGTGTGCATTACTACATATACATGACAACACAAGCACAAACGGCGAGGAAAGTAGATACTGCGCTACAGCAGTGATAACAGCCCAGTTCCAGTCTCACACCACCAGTGAGGTGTGTAGAGCCCCGCGCCACTCGCAGTAAGGTGGTGTTATAGCAGATCCCAGCCACTGTTATTGTTAATTTCCGGGGATCGCTCCCTGATATTGATGGCCTCCCGGATCCTCCTCCTGGGGCGGTCACGCTCAGAACCGAGAACCCGGATACCTGAGAAAGCCGTTGCTCCCAGTGGCAATGGGTCAGATGCATGCTTGGCCGCGAAATGCTCACCCAGCGCGGTGCCGCTCACTGTGTTGCGTGCGTCGTCGTTGTGTTCTTTTGTCCTGGTAGCGAGGCTGCGGTACGTCTCTCCGACATATTTATCACCACATTTACACTCGAGGTGGTATACAACATTACGCTCCGTGCATGCCCCTGAACCGGACATGCAGGCGACACAAGCAGCTTTGGGCCGCCCCCGTTTACGGGGCCTGGACATACGTTCTGAGTGCAGAATGAATACCGTGTCACCCTCAACCTACCGTTTCACACCGAGTATATCCACAACAAAATTCATAAATTACTCCGGAAGTACAAGATAAATGCCCAGCTGATTTACAGGAACCGCCGTCTAAGTAATTAGTTCTATGATTTGCACGTCTGCCCTCCGCAAACCACCATGCCGCAGGTATGTAGACCCGTCCAGGCCCCGTAAACGGGGGCGGCCCAAAGCTGCTTGTGTCGCCTGCATGTCCGGTTCAGGGGCATGCACGGAGCGTAATGTTGTATACCACCTCGAGTGTAAATGTGGTGATAAATATGTCGGAGAGACGTACCGCAGCCTCGCTACCAGGACAAAAGAACACAACGACGACGCACGCAACACAGTGAGCGGCACCGCGCTGGGTGAGCATTTCGCGGCCAAGCATGCATCTGACCCATTGCCACTGGGAGCAACGGCTTTCTCAGGTATCCGGGTTCTCGGTTCTGAGCGTGACCGCCCCAGGAGGAGGATCCGGGAGGCCATCAATATCAGGGAGCGATCCCCGGAAATTAACAATAACAGTGGCTGGGATCTGCTATAACACCACCTTACTGCGAGTGGCGCGGGGCTCTACACACCTCACTGGTGGTGTGAGACTGGAACTGGGCTGTTATCACTGCTGTAGCGCAGTATCTACTTTCCTCGCCGTTTGTGCTTGTGTTGTCATGTATATGTAGTAATGCACACCCGCCATGACGTGCTTTGCACTTCTCTACGCGCGCTGTCACTATGTACCGCGCTTTGCTTGCTTGCCTCCTTCTTTTATACTGCTGTTCTTTCCATGTCCACTTCATTCCTGATGATGGTCATAAAGACCGAAACGTTGTAACGATACCAATGGATTTGTGTGAAATGCAGTGCTCTCTTGAGTGTAGGCAGGTTGCCTGCAAACAATTCAAGTATAATGAAGCTGCGTGAAGCGTCCTTCAAAATTTTGAAACGATTAGTAACTTACTTATAAAAACTCAGGCTCATTCGTGTTATCCTAATATGGGGCTCTTTATTTAATACCGGAAGATTTTCGACCCAGGATGACAACCTACTTTCGCCAGTTTCGGCTCGGCTAGCCGTGTCGTGTGTATAGCTTCCATTCTGTAGCCATACACTACGTAACAGCAAGAGTAGGTCGTCTGGGTTATAGAGTCTACGGCTTCGCGTGTTTTGGCTCCAGATTTCTACGCGGAGATGGGGTTCTCCACGTTGTGGCACACGCAGAGAAAATGCGTACGGATCTCGTTACGGCCTAAATGCTATTTCATTTTTGGCAGCAGACAGATGGAACATGCTTCCACCTGGATGTCGTCAAGCTAAGCCCCTTTCTGCATTTGTCACAAGCACCAAGTCATTCCTAGGGTTCCCAGTAAAAAGGCAACGCCTGTTGGGAGTTCCCTAGTAAAATAATAAATTCTACTTTATATTTATTATTATTATGTGCTTGTTCGCGTAGACATCAGCTGCATTAATGGGCATGCAAATCATGCAAACCAGCCAAAAATGTTCGCATAAGCCACTTCGAATAGATACAAAAGACCACAACAGTTTCAGAAAAAGAAGAAATATGCGAAAAGAAGACAAAAACTAGGGTGCTGACACCACTCGGGCACAGATGCCCACCCAACCGCTTCGGTCAGCTGCAAGAGCACGGAACGCCTCCAGATCGACTTTGCTTGACAAGGAAAGTCCAATCCGCTTGGCATCATCTTGTAAGTTGTAGTAGCGTTGGTAGTGTGTGTCTTGGTCGTCCCCTCCAGCCCGCTGGACGAGGCTCTGCGAAGTACGCTCCCATGGCCAGTGATGGTGGGGAGTCAGCCGGGAGCCGGAGGACGTGCCCAAAGAGCCTCCACCTAGCTCTCAAGATGATAATGCCGAGAGGAACCGCGCCGGTACGCTCATAGAGCCTCTCGTTCCTAATCCGATTCGGGAACACAATGCCGATTAGCGCCCGCAGCTGTTTTCGGTGGAAGGCCTCAATACGGCTCAGCTGCTGTTTCGTTGGTGCCCATGTTGCACAATTGTAGCAGAGTACAGGGAGTACAAAGGCATTATAGAGCCGGATGCGGAGATCCTCCGAAACTAGCGACCTACGGATCCACAGCGTCCAGAGTTTACCAAAGGCAACAGTTGCCAGTTGCTGTGGCCGTAGCATATCCTCAGCATCACCTAATAGGGACCCGAGTTTCTTGGTGGTTCGCCACTCCTCCTCGATACGATCAGTGTGCCGTTCGATGTGCGTGTGCTCTGTTTTGGTCTCATTCACTTTCAAATCCCATTCGAGGAGCTTGTTGGATATGGTTGGAAGGAGGGTCCTCAGCCTCTCACCATCAGTAGTCACGAAATCCACATCGTCGGCGTAGGCAGTTTCAGTTGGTAACCCCAGGGAGATATCGGCAGGGGGACGTGGTAGAAGAAGAGGCCGGACATCACGCAGCGCACCCTCAAGGTACACAATGAAAAGAACAGGAGACAACGAGTCACCTTGGGGTGTGCCGCGGAGAGTGGGGAATGACGGGCCCTTAGCGGATGGGAGTACAACCCGCAGTACGGTGTCCTGGAGGAGGTAACTGATCATTCGGATTTCATCCGGCTGCAAGAACGATCCCAGCACCGAGATGAGCCGTGGCCTGCTTATACAGTCAAACGCTTTTGACATATCAATGCCTAGGATATCCAGCGCACAGCGATAGCGTTGGCATCGAGCCGCCAACCATCGGTATGACCACACAACATCTGTGGTGCTTCTGCTGGGGCGGAAACCACTCTGTGTGTGTGCAACGAAGTTGTTGACGTCCTTGTTGATCCTCCGCAGCACAGTCAATGATAGAATCTTCCTGAGGGCTATGAGTAAAACCACGGGCCGTAGGTGAGCGACTGGTCCCCTTGATTTGCCAGGCTTTTGTAACGGAATAAGCGACCCACTACCGATGCTGTTCAGGGGCAGACCTGTCTCGACGGCAGAGTTGAGGACCTGGGCGATACTGGAGTAGACGAGGGCAGGTGAGTACTTTAGCAGCTCCCCTGGCATGTTATCTGGGCCACTTGACCTGCCATTGTTCAACTTTCCAGCTGCCTGTGTCACCTCTGCCTCAGAAATAGGCCGCCTCAAGCCGGCGGTACTGAATAGCGCAATCCTGGTCGGCAAGGCCCGGTCGCCGCAGCAACAGTGCACCAGGCTCCGGTGTGTACAGCTTAGAAAAGTGGTCGGTGATTTGGATGGCTACTGAGACTGGCTGTATTACTTGTCTACCCGTTTCATCATGCACAGTGATAGGCTGTTGTTTTGTCGCTGGAGTAGATGGACTGCATGAAACATCTGTGCTGTATCCTTCTTTGCTTCTACTTCCCTCGCCCGAGCGTCCAGCTCATTCGATGCTAGTTCCTTTGCTCGCAGCCGGATTCGGTGTGAGAGGGTGTTCCGCCGATGCTTCAGATCAGCCACTTGTTGTGGATCCCTACTTGTAGTTATCAGCAGTCGTAACCGTTTTTTCTCTTCCGACCAGGAATGTAGCTGATCATCCATGAAACGCTGTTGCTTCTTTGGGGGCTGTGCCAGTCCAATGGTATTCTTTGCCGTTTGCTGGATGAAAGACGAGATCGATGTCCAGTGTGCTTCCGGTGTGGATAAATTCTACTACTACTACTATTTGCTGGGTATCGATCAACTGCATGCAGAAAACTGCCAAATATGGAAGGGGAAATTCCCAGTACACATTCCACGTGACTTCTCTAGGTGAAACGTAGAGCAGAACAGCATTTCTTTACGTTACGGGAACGCGAAGAAAGTTCGCGTGATTCTTTGCGTCGCGTTCCCAAAACGTAGAGCAGAACCTCCCTAGTAGTAGAGTAGGTGAGTCTCTCAACCAAGCGGGCGTGTAACGGCCCATAAGGCATAACCGGTTACCCTGTAAACTGCATCCTTTCACAGAAGCTTTTTTGCGATGCGACACGGGATGCGACAGCCGCGAAACCGGGAAATCCCCAAATCGCAAAAATCACGGACCCCACGCGCGCAACAGCCGCAACAGGGCCATCGCGGAAGTACATGTAGTTGAGCCAAGCTGAACTTTTGCGATGCGACAAGCGATTTGGCGTAGACATCTACGATGTTGGCCTTTTCTACAGCAAAGTATTAAAGTATTAAAGGTTCAAGAGTTGCCTACAAGTTACTTGTAGTCAAGTAGTTGTACCAAACCGTGCGAATACCATGGTGACGTACCCAAATCAGCAAGATCGAAGACTTTGTCGCATCGCTGACTTCTCAGTCTGTGAATGGTATTTCGCGAGTTCCCATCGCACGCGTCCATCGCAGATCGCGTCGCATCGCGTGTCGCAACGCAAAAAAGCTTCTGTGAATCCCGCTCTAACTAGGCTCTTTATAGCTTTTAGCGTTACGATGTGAAGAAACCTGGACGTGCATAGCCATGAATTTGTACACAACTCCCTGCTTACTCTACTCGGGCTGCATTCGTTTTGTCCATACTTTCCAGAGAGTAGACAACTTCACCAGAAAGGATTTTGCAAAAAGAAAAGTAAACGGTAGATGGAAGCGTCCAAAAGTACATAACGGTATCCGCTTCGGAAGATCATCAATACAAAGTCTGTATACCGGTATCTCACCCACACACGCGCAACATATTTACAGTAGTCTATGTACGATTAGTTGTACATGCTAAAACTCATAAAAACCCAGGCTCATTTGTGTTATCCTAATATGGGGCTCTTTATTGAAAACCGGAAGATTTTCGACCCAGGATGACAACCTACTTTCGGCTCGGCTAGCCGTGTTGTGTGTATAGCTTCCATTCTGTAGCCGTACACTACGTAACAGCAAGAGTATATAAACCCCGGGGGGCGCCGATAGATTTCGGCTTGGGTACGGCTGGTTGGTTGTGAATCACCTGACTTGTGGCCAAATGTGGTAAGCATTTGCATCAAGAGTGCATAAACAAATTGTTTATGCACTCTTGTTTGCATGCATAAACAAATTGTTTATGCACTCTTGTTTGCATGCATTCCTGTCCCAGGAAATTGTTTAACTCGATCTACAAGAGAGAATCTTCAAATGCCGGCATTTGAAGATTTCCGACTTTAGACTTCTGGGGTCTGGACTGACCGGCAAGCTCAACTCTGCACACACACACACACACACACACACACACACACACACACACACACACACACACACACACACCAGGCTGAAGAAGTCATCTGGTCATGGGACACAAAGGAGCTAAATTCTATCCAAGCTAGTTATGGGCGTGACAGGATAATAATAATAATAATAATAATAACGTATGAGGAGAAGAGAGCGTGATCATCACCAATGACTCCCCATGGTTGCACACGCTGCTGTGCAAGGCGGCATGCTCATCACGTATACTTATTATTATTTTTTTTTTTAACAACTGAAGTGCAAGCGCACCATCGCCAGACAACATGAAAGTGTCAGAACAGTTCACTGCAGTTAAAACACACCATTCTCGACCTTGCGTGCGTAGATTCCTACAAAAAGTGAATTGTTTTATACTCCGAGAGTAGAATTTATTTTGGTAAAAAAAAGAAAGAAGGTGTTATCGGCAGACTTTGAATCATTTAAATCTGCATGAGAAAAAGTGGGTTAGTTGAAGTTAAAACGAATGTGTCGGCTTGGTTCACCGCATATCGGCTAGGAGCGTGGCTGGGTTCTCAAGGTACTGTTTCCAGAGGTTAGAAAAGCGTGCCACAGTGGCACCGTCGATCACACGATGATCGGCGGACCAGCTAACGTTGAGAATACGCGCCTTGACCACATTGTCGTCTTTGTCAAACCGTGGCACCGCCTGGAATATGCCGAAGAAAAGTACCATAATCACACAGCATAGACCAAAAGAGCGGCTTTGAAGTAACAAAACAGAGAGGCCTTGCAGAACAAATGTCCATAGTGGCGTTGGAAAAATCAGACAACGAAAAAAATCCGCTTATTGGCAAAAGATGCAAGAGTGGCAACGTGGTTTTATTTTCGGCTACTGTAAGTATACAAATTTTCGACCCATTCAAATTTCGGCCTCCCATGGCTAAAACACATTTCGGCCGCATCAAATTTTCGGCCTGTACTGCTGCAACCTGTATACACTCTCACACTACTGAAACTTGCAAAAACAAAATTTCGGCTGCAACAAATTTCCAGTCAAACATGACCAGGCCGAAAATAGCTGAAAATAAATACGCGCCGACTATTTGTTCACTTACAGTATTGAGAAAGGGACCCCAGCGGCCATGCATTGCATGTCACGATGATGAACTACATGTACATGCATGCATAGTCATACACTGTTGCCTGTTGCCGTACAGTGATGCACAGTAAAACATGCCCAGGCTACCATCCGTCCCAGAGGAACACTACCGCTACTTGTAACACCAAGGGATGTTATTGCCAGGCAAATGACCCTGGATCAGAACACCACCTGTACGCAGTGATCACATGTCGAAGGTCCCTTGCGGTGCTCAAGGGTTCTTCCTACATATCGGCTATCACAATGCCGACATTCAAAAATGATATATCACATGGCTACTTAGTTGGGTAGGAAGAATGTCCTTCTTCACCGTAAACGCACGGGCTTCCATGGGAGTCTCAAAAATACACGGCAAGGGTTGGGTCCGAAAGGCTGTTCTGTGACATTGACCACAGGTTTGTTGAAGACAAACGTTTTAGTTCATACTTCTCGAGTCTTTCGTACTTCACTTTCTTTTCTCCTATTTTCTTTCATACTGTGTATTTCGTACTCTTCCACGTATATATTGTTGTTTATTGGTAGATTTCAATATTGAGACGTATTTTCCTGATAAATGTCTCTAGAAAACTGGTTAGGAAATTGTATTATCCATATTTTATTTTTTATTTTTTAGGCGCGCACACTAGCTTCATCATACCATGCAGGTGCATCCGCACACTGTGCAGAATCTTAAGATCGCGTCAATACTCAAATGAATCAAGCAAACATTGTTTTTTGGTACGAAAGAGAGAGAGAGAGAGAGAGAGAGAGAGAGAGAGAGAGAGAGAGAGAGAGAGAATGGGTTTGAATGCACCAGTACACAGCTCAATGAAGACAGGTTACATAGTGAAGGCAGCACGCCGCATATCGACCTATAGTCACAGCTGCATACTCTTGGTTATGGAACCTTGCTCAAACCTATACCACAAAGCTATCACTCATCGTGACATGCTCAGACTCCCTGCCACAGTAGAGTCCACTGACCTGCATGCGTCCCAGAGCACCAATCAGAACCTCCGGTGGGAGCAAGACAGGCCTGGCGTAGGTACCACCAATCTACAGCAAGACCAACAAACCCAACCATGATCAGTCAGATCACACAACACAGGTTTTTCAATGACCAGCTTAGCAAAGCAATCTCTCTCTCTCAATAAACCTGGTAAGCTGGCTTTCAAGACATTCCCCTCACAATCTCATCCAGAGCCAACACGACAGCTCAGACTAGCCAGCCGAAAGTCTGGCCCTATTTTCTCCCCAGGCAGTCTCTCACAAATTGTGGCAACAACTGAACCCCCAAACAGATGCATACATTAACTGGTGACATCCGATGTGTTACAAAGAGTATCGTCATCAACCACCAGACCATAAATACCTCTTTATTTGTTACAAATAGTCTAGAAATTATTAGTGCAAGTTCTCCTCTTCTTCTCCATGCGCTCTTGGCTGACACATTGCTACCAATGTTACAACGTGTCGGCTGAGAGCACACGGAGAAGAAGAGGAGGAGAGATTGTTGCATTATTGAACAGCCGAATGGTACCGTTCACAACTTTACAGAAACAAGTTCAAACAACAATCGAGGAGGATAGCATCAACTCTAACATACCGCTCCAATGTTGGACAAAGAGAAGGTGCCACCGGACATGTCATTCTGCTCCAATTTCCCGGCCGCACCAACGGTCATGAGCCGTTGCAGTTCAGACGCAATTTCAAAGATAGACTTGTCCTGAGAGAGAGAGAGAGAGAGAGAGAGAGAGAGAGAGAGAGAGAGAGAGAGAGAGAGAGAGAGAGAGAGAGAGAGAGAGAGAGAGAGAGAGAGAGAGAGAGAGAGAGGAACACAACAGAGCAAGAAACTGGAAACTCGTTACACTTGGCATTCACAAAGGCTGAGGTGATCTGTTTTCACCACCAGGTACTGTAGCAACGGTACTTCTATTTTAGGTCAGGTGCACCTCGAGGTAGCAGCCCAAGTCCGGTCCGTCCAACCGTCCTACTTTGAGCAGGGCAGTCGCAATTCGAACAAAAACATCTGTATACTGATGCTTGTTCTTTTCTTGAGCTGCATTGCATTTTTGTATCCGAGAAAACAATTTAAATCTGTCTACATTTCTATAAAGTAGGTTAAAAGTCCTCTCCGTGCACAAAGTGCTCAATGCGGGAAAGGACAGAGTTTCCTTTCTATATGTGAGTCAATTTCCTTTGTATACCTTACTGCAGGCATGGCTGTCCACTTTGTAATGGTGGTAAGACTGGACAGTGTGCTAGGTGATGAGTTCAAGTGGAAGTGGGACTTCAGTCAGTACGGGACAGGAAAGTCAAAGCAGCACAATGGCACTCTATGTGAAGTACACTTTGTCACAACCTAGCAGCCACGGTGTACTACGGTGCTGGCAACTGAAATCCGACCCCTGAGCGGTGCGCTCACATCGCAAAGACCCAACACGGTATAGTAAAACTAGGAAATAGAGACCGCTAGAATGTGAACGCATCGCTCAAGGGTCGGATTTCAGTTGCCAGCGCTGTAGTAGATAGATAGGACAGTTCCTTCGTGACAGGTGCATGTAACTTGTACATGTACTCCATGCATGAAAATCCTTTCATCCCCATCACGAGAGGTTTTTACTGCACTCGTGTTACAGCTGGCTTTGGCCATTACATGTACCACTGTGCGTATACATCGTAACAGGTACAAGTATATAGTATGCTGATCCCAGTAGCCAAACTTTACCGGCTCGAGTGACTTACTTGAACGGACTTGATGTTGGGAACGAGCAAGCCAGTTGGAGTATCCATTGCTACACCAAAGTTGTGTTCCGCCTGACATCGCACACGTACAAAACAACACCAACAGCAGCAGCAGCAGCAGCAAAAGCAGCAGAGTACCCTTTATTGATGGCTTGTGGAGGAGAAATTACAAACAGCAGCGAAAAGCCATTGGTCGGACAAGACAATTTGTTGTCTTCTTCTTAAATTTGTTCATAGGCAACACGATTATAACCACCTTGAAATAATCGTACTTTCCTACCTTTGCTAGTGTTGAAACACATCAACACTAGTAGCAGTAAGAGTGCTCCGAAGTACAAGGGATGTATAGCCCATATTTCATCGCTTCAAATCACAAGATAAAATTATTGGTGCGGCTTTGGCCGCACCTGCCGCACCGGTTCCGGTGCCCACTGCATACACCTGCACATGCACATGTACTCAGATTGAGAAAATTGACCTCATGCTACATTGCCTGTTGGCTGTATAAGCAAGCCAACAGCCAAGACCATCATAAAGTCTTGAAAGTCATGAGTGGTGAATGACGACCTTGCAGTCAGCAGTGTCATCTAATGATCTTACCTTGTAGGTGAGTTCTGTGCAAGCGCTGTTAGGACTGCTGTTCAGTATCGGATACTCCAACATTGCCATTGACGCAGCCTGGGAAGAAGAAGAAGAAGAAGGGGGGGGGGGGGGGGGGGGATAAAACAGCCGTATGCACTAATGGCAGGTGTAGAAGCTTTGTACACTTACAAGGACAGGAAACATGAGCTACAAGTGGGAACAGGCAACTTTCTGTAATTATCAGCGCTGAAATCTCTACCGCTAAGTCTGTACTCTTCAGTGCCTATAAATGAAAAGCTGTCTTATCTCAGTGATCTCTCACCACCTGCTATCAACTACGCAGTATCGCTCGCACAGAGGAAGGGATTTGCTAAAATCGACACTTGAACAATGTGGGCCAAAGGCCCCAAACTCCCCAAACCTACTTATCTCTAACGCAAGGCTACTGTGTACAGTACTGTGCTCAGCGAGCCACACACTAGTGGAGCTTACAGCTACAACTACATTGTATATGACAACGTGTATGGGCAGACAGTTGCTCATATTACCTTCAGGAAGAACGGCATGTAGGAGAGCTTGGTACCGCGGCTAGTGGCGATGTCTTTCAATTGCTCACGCACACTAATATAATAGAAGGAAATCCACAAACGCACGCACACACCGACACAGACCAATATCACCAAGAGATATAACAATGAGCAATGAAAAAAACTCCAATGTTCACCATTAACCAGCATTGTACAGTGAGGCCTTGAGAGAGAGAGAGAGAGAGAGAGAGAGAGAGAGAGAGAGAGAGAGAGAGAGAGAGAGAGAGAGAGAGAGAGAGAGAGAGAGAGAGAGAGAGAGAGAGAGAGACAGAGACAGAGAGAGAGACAGAGAGAGAGACAGAGAGCAGGGGCGTAGCCAGGACCATGGTCAAGGGGGGGGGGGGGTGCCCATAATTTTCTTCCAAAAACGTTCTTTAGAGGAATCTTGTATATACATGTATGCATATTGTACTTGAAGTATACGCATGCTAGTGCGGTGTACACCTTGAATTTATGCATTATGAATGTCTCCAGCTTCCCATTCCAACAATATACACATTTGCATTGCATTGTCAACTGTTCTCTATGTATCGTCATGATGTGAATAGAGCGAAAACATTCAATAAAAATTTGGGCCTTCTCTGTGTGACAGCTAGTGTACTGTATACTATGCTATTATTAAAGTGATAGTTTGGGAGTAGATATCCGATACTAATGATGTGTTTAGAGCAAGAAAAATTAACAGTATGCAGGTCTGAGGTGACTGGTGACTGGAAATCAAGTCAGGACCCACAGTTAAAGCTGAATCTGTTTGATCATACATGTACAGCAGGGGCGTCGGAAGGTATTTTAGTGTGGTACGGTCAGCCATCTGCATGCCAAGCCAGACCCATGGTCGAAATTTTTGAAAGGGGTGCTTTAGCACCCAAAGCCCCCCCCCCCCCCCCCCCTGCCTACGCGCCTGGAGAGAGAGAGAGAGAGACAGAAAAAGAAAGAAAGAAGGAAGGAAAGAAAGAGAGAGGGAGAGAAGGAAGTGCGACCTTGCTTGTGCGACTCGGTCATAATGCTTAACACAATGCCACCGATGTGTTCTGCTGTATGTGACATCCCAACAAGACAGCGCCAACATATTTCGGTCAGGTCAAACAACAACAACAACAACAACAACAGCAACAACAACAACAGCAACAACAACAACAACAACAACAACAACAACAACAACAACAACAACAACAACAACAACAAACCATACCAGACTAAATAAACTACAGGACCACAGGACATACATTACAAGCTGGTCCATGCTGATCTCATCGTTGAAGCCAAACGTCGGAATGGCATTGGCAGCGGTCATCGTTTTCACCATTGCCTTTCGAATTCCCTTGATCGCCTCCACTTTATCCGCTACGATTGCCGATGATCTCAGCGGCCTGGCAGGCATCGATGCTGGTGGTGTTGGTGGTGTAGGGGTCGCTGTGGTCTCTGGAGCTGCTGGAAAGAGAATAAAAAGAAAGAAAGAGAAGAGAAGTTGCAATGATTGAATAATGCCCATCTGGCCTAACCATTGGCCACGTGTAAACGGCATGAATTAATACCATTATGTACAAACCTGCTGGATGAAAGTTGCTCCTTGTACCGGTTTTTTTTCAAGATCTGCAAAACACCGGTTCGGCCAGCAATGTGTGTACCAAGAGCTCTCTTGGTGGTACAGATGACTTCGTAAAAAATCGTGTTCGGCTGTTCAGTATTCTCTCCTCTCCCCCATGCGCTCTCAGCCGAAGAAACGTAATGATATTATTCCTGCCATTATGAAGATGTCCCTGGTTGGAGTCATTTGAATGCTTCTGCTACATTTGGCATGCGCTCTCTTTCTTATCTGGGCGTGCAGTGCAGTGAAGCGTATAACAATAATAATATTATTTCGCATGCACGCTTTCCGGGAAGTGGACGGGCCAGAGAAAGACTGTGCTTTGTACGACGGCAGTGACTGAATACAACAACAAAGCGAAAACACTGAAGATTTCCATTTCTACACATTTTGCAAAGCTCAATTGTTTACTGCTGCACCTAAAAAAAGTGCTCTTCACATGCTATCCTTTTTTTTGCTTGAATACAAAATTCTACTCTGGCAGTACGACATGTTCTGGCTGCATCGGCGTATCGGCCTGGTACACTGGAATAACCAGATCAGTGCTTGCAATGTGCCCAATTCCCCTTGGGGTTTCCTAATAAGAGCCAGTTTCATGTGGTTGTTGAAACTTGTTCCTGATATGGGTGGGCTTAGTCGTGTTATTTGGGGGACCTTTGTACCTCACTGGGCCCCGGCTCTACTATAGAACGTGTATGGTGCATGTGCGGTTTGTGCATGCAGCGGCGCCCAGAGCAAGATTCACATCATCACTTCTTTGCGAAGCTAACTGCTACACATGACTGGCACGGCTGAGGAAAGTTCAGCTTTTGCAACCCATGGTACAACATGCCACGAAGTACATTCAATATTGTGGTACAACTCCCTGCACCAAAACAAGAGAGTCTAGTCGCCAAATACTTCACACATTGGGGCCTGTAATTCTACACACGCGCACACGCACACCCACGCACGCACGCACACCCACGCACGCACGCACACAACACACACATACTGAAATGTCGGTCTTACGTTCAGAGAGGAAACGAACAATGTCTTCTTTCAGAACACGCCCTTGCTTGCCCGAGGCAGGAACAGTGCCAAGATCAACCTGTTGTTGCACCACAGCAGCAGCAGGAGCAACAGCAACAACAACATATGCAAATAGCCAGTTCCAAAGTATTCAGGAATAGAGAGTTAAAGACATGAGCGAGAGAGAGAGAGAGAGAGAGAGAGAGAGAGAGAGAGAGAGAGAGAGAGAGAGAGAGAGAGAGAGAGAGAGAGAGAGAGAGAGAGAGAGAGAGAGAGAGAGAGAGTGAGTGTGAGAGACACGGAGAGAGGTGGCCAGGCCAGCAGAACTCAACTTAGCCACAGTCATTATTCACGGCAGTGAACTCACATTGTTCTCTCGCGCTATTCGTCTCACTGCCGGGGTGGCAAGTACCCGAGCTCTGCCGAGATCCTGAGGAGGGTAGAGGAAATAATGAAATTAACTGATAAGCAATTTACACGGAAAGCCACAGAGCATTGCATCTATACAATGTAGCTGCTGCTGCAGGTGAAATCCAGCTACTTACATGCATACCTTACTTCCCCGGTTAAAAGTCGCACCCCCTTCTTCAGGCTTGAGCCATATTGTTTAGATATATTCACTTCAGTAGTAAGTCATGCTCGATTGTAAGTCGCATCCCCCTTTTTGCCCTTGAATTTTAGTGTTAAAAGGTGCAACTATTATTATTAAATATTCGGGGAAATACGGTACAGTCAACTTCGTTTATAACGACATTCGGCGGGGCATCAAAAAAGTGTCGTTATTCGCGAAGTGTCGTTATACCGAAGTCTCATTATGTATTACAGTTGGATGGAACTTTGCTCTGGGCATGGACATTCTGTCGTTATTCGCGAATGGTCGTTATATCCGCAGTCGTTATTAGCGAAGTTGACTGTATACAACATTGCACCCGGCGATGGGCACACAGCTCAATCAAGGAGTAGCAAGACAAATCTATCCACTAAGGGGCTATCCGGCATTATCGATAATTTTCACGAAACAAAAAAGTTTAGTTAGGACCTTCCCCACCCACCCACCCCCCTGAACGAAAAATAGATTGACTTGACAGCAAGAATGCCTGGATGTCTCTCATATCAATATTTTTCAAAATGAAACTCCCCTTGACCCACCCACCCATATACGAAACTTTTTCTCTTCGTGTAAAAGATCGATAATTATGGACGGCCCCTACTAACAAGGTAGATGAAACCACCTTGGAGGTGAAAGAGACTTTTACAGAAGAAGTGCTATTTTCTCTATTCCAAGCTTTTTCTCTGGCATGCATCGACCCCAGAGAGAGAGAGCAACTTCGCGAATTCGGCGGTATTACAATTATTAGTGATGCAGTTGGTTGTTCCTACGTGGATTGCATTGACACCATAAATGATATTTTTATGGCGGATACCTATGCACTTCGTTATACTTCCGGGGTAAAAAGAAAATGGGGAAACTGCTTTTTTTCATACATTCAAGCCGTCAACAATACTAGAAGAATAGGAATATCATCTCGGTGGTCTATGTAAGCCAGGAAACAACTTGGCTTGGAAGCAGAGAAAGGCGCAGTTCAGTTCTTCTGAAAAAGGTTGTTCACTCATTGCATAAATCAGTAATCCCATGCCATATCCATACCTCACAGTCACTGCTTGGTGTATTCAGTGTAGGTTCTGGCATTGATGCTGCTGGCGCTGCTACCAGTAGATCTTCTTCTGTGAGCGACAAATAAAAAACATAGCAAATTGAACGCTTTGAAACGACTGCTGCCCTCGTTCCTTCTGATTTGCCTTTGAACGCTAGGGTCGTTTTTCAGCTCTGCACACGCAAATGTTTAGCAAACCGCATGTTCAGGCAGAATGCAATTTCTTCTCACACTCAAATTCACCCACAGGGCAGTGGACACCGGGACAGTGTATCAGTATTCTGCGGTGCTATGTCACATGTACTGTTATCAACAACAGTTGGTACTACAGCACAGTCAGGCCGGGAGAAAAAAGCCAGCCCGATCATAGCAGCGCATTCCTTCCAGCAAATTGATTGAAGAGTAAAGACATTGAATTCGGCGAAGTGTTTAACCCTTTGTGCGCTCAACGAGCGATTTCGCTCGTTTCAAATGCGCGTCACATGTTTGATCGTCATGCTTGACTGGTTTACCGCATCGCGCCGAGACTTCACCACCGCGTAGCTGAGAAGATTTCCTTGACGTAGGTCGCCACTAATTTTTTTTTGATAGCACGCTTTGAAAGTGATTTTGCGATATGTCAAAATTAGAATTTTGACTTTTCCAGCGATGGATGCAGACGAGGCTCTTCGCCTAATACAAGACGCGGACCAAGCAGATCTCCCAGTAGAGGATATTGCTTGCTCTTCAGGCGACGAGGTATGAGACTCGGACAACGATTTTAATTCGTCTGACGAGGAAGATATTGCTATTCCTGTTCCCGTTGCTGCTCGTGGACGTGGCGCTGAACGATTCCATTCAGAAAAACACAACTTGTAAATACAAATTCTCAAAAACTGTGGAGTTACAGGGGATTATTGTCGGAATGGAAAATTTGATCATTTTCTCCAAAACCAGTGGACTCACAAAGGGTAAAAAAAACCCTCGTGCCAAGACTCCGCTGCAACTTAATTCACCAGTACAGTATGCTAATCTCATATGGACAAAAGAGGCGGTGGAAACACAACCGGTGAATGGCAGTAAAGCATTGCTGCATACATGTACATCATATGGCCAGCTCTATTCTCCGATAGGGTCAGAGGGTACATGGGCTACCATGTGTGAATGTGACAAATTTGAGCACACATGCCGGTAGGGCCGGTGTATGTGCTAGCCTGGACACAACATGTGTGCCTGCGCTCGAATTGCATGTACAACTACTGCATGCACGTACCTGTGGGCACGGCACTGTCATATTCCACTTGGATGTCATACAGCCTGGCCCCAACCTTTGCTATCTGGTCAACCTCATAATACGTGGCCTTGATTACACCAGCCATTGGGCTCTTCAGGGTAGCGGACGTCTGAAGGCATCCAACAGAAACCAGCACAAGATCACAGATCGAACATCCAACAGAAACCAGCACAAGATCACAGATTGGGGCAAAAAATACAAATCCTTAAAAAAAGCCACACATTCAATGGAGAACATCTCGGCAATTGGCAAACGAAATCTGAGACACACGTTTAGGCGGCTGAATAGTATTACAGTTTAGTCAGCATTCACAGCGCTACTCAGCAGGCTCTACCAGTCAACGATGTTTCGTTATTGGAGTTTATGCCATTCTGCTGTCCTCTACCCTGACTTCATACCCATGCGCACGCACGCACACATGTACAAACACACACACACACACACACCGGTTTGAGCGTCTTTTAAGAACACAAATGAGCACCTTATCTGTTAGGACTTCACAAATCGGGACTGCTCTACCGACGACATCTCCGGGCTTCACAAACCTGCACACACACAGACACACACAGACACACACACACACACACACACACACACACACACACACAAACATACACATGTACAGACAGACAGACAGACAGACACACACACACACACACACACACACACACACACACACACAAAGACACACACACATGGAATGAACGCAGGAATAGGAAGAAGCCAGTGATATCGCCGATATCTCAAATACACAGTAATAGGTACTTGTAGTTAGAGTGAGAAGAAAATAATATCAGTACAGTAATATGCCTTGAATATCGAACTTTTTTCACCAAACGAATTATTTTAGTTTGGACCCAACCCCTGCCTCTCAGAACGTAAAAAATGTTGACATAATACATGCAAAAGTCGCAAGTGACTAGTGTGTCACTGATCCTATAGCCGTGTACATGTATCAATGTTTTCTAAAACGAAATTGGTCAACCCCCTCCCACCCCATAACGAAATTATTTCGTTTTGTGAAAAAACTTCGATATTAATTTTGTGGACGACCCCTTATACGAGGCATAACACAAGGGAAGAACTGGCAGAAATGATTACGTCAATTCCCAACAAGCAGCTCTGAAAGGTCCACATTTTGCACTTTGATCAGACTTTAATCCCTTTATCCAAGCCAAGATAAACCCTTTGATCAATCAATCAGGATAGGTCACATGTTACGGACCCAGTTGCAAACAAAGAGCATAAGACAGTATCTGTGTGTATTCAGCATCATCTCGGCCTTGATGTAGCGATGCAGGTTCCACTCAAGACCAGACACAAAGCTATGAGCCCACACATCATGGATGTTTGACTCGAGGCTACTTGCATGGCTATGCACAATCACCGGGGTATTCAGAATGCACAGTTGCTACAATGGCACAGCAGCGACAAAACCTATGCTAGCTAACTGCAGCCTTGATCACGTGCACAGCCACATTCACACATGCACATGTACATGTATGAGTACACTACGCTTATACGAGCTCACCACTCAGTGACTGTTGCCTCCTCCATTCCTTCAGTCAAATCCTTCAGAATGAATGGCTTCACAACCTTGGCGTGCCGGCCTGCGATGTCAGGTGCAGAAAGGCACACGAAGCCAAAGCAAAAGACGTGTACAGTTCACCACGCGTGCAATGCATACAGTTCAGGCACGCAAAGCAAGCGCATAGTTGGAAAGGCAGATCACGGGGTACTTTGAAGCAAATCTAGCAAGCACAGCTACAGACAGGAGGACACATTTTAGATGGTAGTGCAAGCAATCAAGAACTTACATGATGCAGTTTGGAAGTATCTCGCTCCAATGGAGGGATGACTGGCTAATGGAGAGCGCACTATTGAATGCTGGATAGAGACAAAAAGAAGAGTTCGGAGTCAGCCTATGATCTATGAAATACTAATACATGTGCCGGTGTGTTGTAGGCAAATGGAATGGGCGGCATTCAAGACAATAGAGAGGTTAAGATGCACGTTATTTCCGACGTGACGCGCAATTTCACGTCAAATTTGGCGTTAAACTCCAAATTTCGACGTGAGCTGCAGGTCACTCGCGTTGTTTTTCGACGCGCGGGCCAAATAACGCGACCTGAACTTTCGCGTCATGTTGGAAATAACGTGCATCTTAACCTCTCTAATAGCCAAGTTCACCATTCCTAAATCCCGCATCTCATTTATAATAGAGAAATGTATGCAATAGTGAGTTTCAATAGACCTCTGGTTTCAAAAACCTTTAGGCCAGCATCTATACCACATAAAATCTGTGGATCACTTTGTGCATAAATTTTCCGAAATTGGTTGTTTGTTATCCAATCGCTTAGAAATCTATACCGGTATGAGAAAAATAATAAATTGGGGGAATTGCCCGAGCAATATCCCAAAGAAAATTCTCAAAAAGCTCAAACCCAATTCGAAAAGTCTAGTCTGTAGAAGTCTGGACTTTTGAAAGGCACTATAGTAAATTGTAGGATTTTTATTCAATGCAGTTTAATACCTTGTACTGTGAATTTCTGAAAAGCTCACACTTTGTAGAATTACAATAGGAAGTCTCTAAGGTAGCTGTTGGTACCTTGTGCGCATTTGCAGCCTTTCTTGTGCAATTCGTTCTGGACATACAGCTGACGCATCTTAGGCCCTGTGCAAGAAGATGTTGTGAAAGCCGGGGTGGAAACACCAATGTCAGATGACATAATTATGACTATAAACTCAAATAGAGCAGTACTGGCTATTTCAAATCACGTACGCGAGCGAAGGCAGATCTCCGGCCTCCAAGACCTAAAAGCGACATCGTATTGCAACTAATCTGATCTCCTGCTAAATCCCTGCTTCTAACTCACGGTACTTCTATTCCACTGAGTTCTCTCAGCCTCGCCAGAGAAACTGAGCGAGAACACGAAACAAAAAAAGCTGCCAGAGCTAGAGCCACTCAGCTCAGAACTACGGTCAGTGCTGATGATTTTGGGCAGGTGAAGGTGATTCCCCTCATTGCAACACAGCGCGCTGTTTGAGTCGAGTGTGAGTACATTTTTCTGTGGAGCTTGTCATACGATCATGTACTTTTTGAGAAAAAAACGCTTTTGATTCTCCAAAAAATGCATCTTTTTGATCGATCGATCGCGATCTCGCAGTCTCAAATATTCAGAACACAGCTGGAAAGCTGGATTCACCCCTCCTGACCTCCTCCTGTCTTCTTTCTTGGAAAGTGTGGCCAGGTGCCTTTTCGATATCCACGGTCTTTAGTCAATGCATATTCCTTTATCAGGTTGCAATGGCCTGACTGATTGGCTTCACTGTGACTGTGACTTTCAGCTGCATTTCGTGGATTGAACCAACTTTGGGAAGAAGTTGAAACCCATACAACTATCAATATTTCACGTTCACTCTGAAAACCTGGCTGCTATGGCTTCAATCATGGTGGGCGGTCGTGCTGGCGTGCGTTTCGCTCAAAGCTGCAGGCGAGTGTGGAGTCGCCAGTCCGGATGTGTTCTAGTTGGCCAGAGACACTGTGTCTCTTGTCCTGGCGTAACACAGCACCCATCTGCTGAGAACACTTCCCAGAACCGTTCCAGGAGCAATGCTTTCTATGGTGCTTTCTTGGGCTGTGCTGCAGCTACTGCGTATGCGTTTGGTCAGTGGAACAGAAATGTGCTGGCAGACGAAAGTGAAGAGAAAGGTGCGGATGACACGGATGAAGACAATGGGCCAAAGAGGCCGAAGCGACGCAAGCCGCGTCTCAGCTTTCATGATAGGAATGTAATGGCGTACGAGGATCGTATTCGGTCTTACAGTACACCCGACAAAATCTTCAGATACTTTGCGACTCTGAAGACGAAGGATGAAAAAGGCTTGGATGTGATCATGATGACGCCGCAGGATTTCGTGCGTGCAATCCTTCGCGGCCAAATTCAACCGGAAGGCTACGGCCTGGATCAGTTTAAGCGATTTGACATGGACCGCTATCAGCGATACCTGGCCCGTCATCATGATGAGTCAGAGTCGAACATCTTCGTGAAAGTGATGCAGTGCGGCTTGATCAGCTTCTCCGACTATCTCTTCCTCATCACTATCCTGTCAACGCCGTCAAAGCATTTCGAGATCGCATTCCGCATGTTTGACCTCAATGGTGATGGCGAGCTGCAGCTGTCCGAGTTTGACACAGTGCGTGCGGTGATCGCTGGCAACTCACCAATGGGAATGCGGCATCGTGACCACTTCGTCACTGGAAACGTCTCCGGTCAGGTTGGCTCTGGCCTGACGTCGTACTTCTTCGGCCAGAACTGCGATGGGAAGCTGACCTACCAAGAGTTCCAGGCGTTTGTTTCTCAGCTGAAGGAGCAAGTGCTGCGCCTTGAGTTTAACAGCTACAGTCCGTGGGAGGGTAAGATCTCCGAACTGGATCTGTGCCACGCCCTTCTCACCTACACTGGCTTCTCGGAGCAGAAACAACGCAAGTTCCGGAAACGAGTCAAGGCAGCCTATGGTACGTGGAAGGAGGGAATCAGCTTTGAGCAGTTTCTAGAACTTGCCAAGTTCACGGAGAACGTCGACGACATGGTGGTTGCCTTCTCTGTACTCACGTCCGCCTCTGTACCTATTGGACCAGAAGACATGAAGCTAGCAGGCCGCATTGTTGCTGGAGTGGAGCTGAGTGATCATCTTGTAGAGGTCCTTATCACTATGTTTGATGAGGATGGCGATGGAAAGCTGTCTGAGAAGGAGTTTGTGCAGGTGTTGAGGAAGCGCCAGCATCGAGGCCTCGACTCTCCCATGGACACCGGATTCTCTCGTGTGCTTGCTGCCGCGTACAAGTGTATGTACGAGCAGTTTGTCATCAAGCGGCAGGCAAACGTTGCTTTGCCTGTTGTCCTTGACCGTGACGTCAAATTGGTGTGATTTGCCTCTTGCCTTGTCTTCTTTGTAATGGTCGGTGCTGACTCTGGATTGGCCTCACGATTTGCGTGCTGACTCTGGATTGGCCTCACGATATGCGTGCTGACTCTGGATTGGCCTCACGATATGCAATGGTTGACTGTATTATCTGACTTAGGTTGTGACGGGCTGGACTGCCCTTCTTTTTGGTTTTCTTTCATTCTGTGTAGTGCTGGTCACTTTCCACCCACTTCTTTTTTTCTCAGCAAGTCTGTATGCCGATTTTTAGCTTATGTAGGAGTGTTGGCGCTACACTACAGTTGCCTTCTTTGCCGTACCATGCATGCATGATTGCCTCATTTTTGCAGACTTTGCTTTCCACGCTGTGTATTGTCGCCGCAAGATGCGGATGATGTCTATCCATTCTTGCACGTTGTCTGCTTGTGATGGGCTTGGCCAGGTTTCCATTGACCTGCTCATCTTTGCTGCTGATGCTCCTCCTGTTGTTTGTGATTGATCTGTTCATGCTAATTTTTTTTTTGTTTTGGCATCTTTCCCCCTTTAGTGTTATATCTGTCTTTTATTCTCCCTTGCCAGTAGGTGTGTCTGTATTCTTGCTGCAGTGCAGTACATGTCACATGTACAGTACACTCTACTGTACTTATTATTTTAGAACCTCCCAGCATAGTATTTTCAATGGCACTTTGCCAGCCAACTACTAGTAGTACCCGCTTCGTGTACATGTACTTTGAATATTTTAAAAACATGAACGGAACACAGTGAACAAGTTCTTGCAGGTTTCTTGCCAGTTTTTTAGCAAACGACCTACATAATGAGCGGGCGTCTGTTTGTGAGGGAGTGATATCTCACTATTCCCCGGTCCACAACCTACCAGATGCGAGTACCTTAGTAGTATAGATTTTCCACTGCACACCTTTCTGCATCTGATTTGAAATCGTTTGAAGAAGATGCTCCTGAGCCGCATAGCTGGTCTGGGTGAGTTGTGACTATGAAGTACTTGAAGTATGGGGTGTAGTACGTAACATGTACTAGAGTGACTGTCTGGTCACAAACTCTGTGTGGTGACGCCTGATGGTAACACATGTTGCCTCGAATCCACAGTTAGCCCACATGATCTGTCTCCTACTGCATGCTGGGATCTTGTAGGCTACAGCTAGAACTGCAGTGCTCCAGGCATTGATAAATACATCTACACAGTACACATCCATAAGTCTTCACAGTCAATACAAAGCGTTCACAATGGGACCAAAGTGGACTCTCTCAAAGTAAGCCGTATGAACTGGTACATGTAGTTTACCCGGTCATCAATCAGGCATCCTGAACATGGCAAACAATACGGTCGTGTACAATGTACTGGCAAACCATGAAAAGCAGGGTAAGTGGGAAGTTCTCTAGCATCCACATAGTTTACTGGTGTGACCAAGAGTATAATACCAAGAGTGTTTCTGGACTCTTGGTCTGACTGCACTGGTAATCAGAGTTCAACAACATGGTAAATAAAAGACCTGCAAATCAAAGAGAGTTCACAGCGACACCAAAGTCCACAGCAGTTGCACGTGCAAACAGACATACAAACTCCTGCAAGTAAGTCAAAATACAGCGTAACATAGAGAGAAAGGAAAAAAACTAAAAAACATCTCCCAGCAGCCACCGTTAGCTAATTATGTCCAGGCTGATAAAAGAGCGTACAAAAGATTGGCAAAAACGCTATATTCGGCCTTACTGTCAGAAAAGAAGAAGAAAAAGACGCATTTTATGCTTCATGATATAATTGTTTTCTATGCAGCAGAAGGGAATACTAGTTTCCTATGAAGATTACGTTGCTACTTTATCGCTCAACAAAGCCAGCAGGCAATACCTAAATAATAATTGTTCCTTCTACAGTCTTGAGAAAAAGAAGAGGAGGCAAATACCAAGTCCAGGTCTATACTGCCTCCTTGCCT